TTCACAAATGCTATAGTTTCTGTGGACATGCATTTGATACACAAATGGAGCTAACCTTATATAACCTAGTAAGGCTATTATTGTCTTAGCTATCTGAATTTTGTTCAAATAAAAAATATCCCTGAAATACTTTCCTGCTAACCTCGTTTCTCTATCTAGTGAGAAAGATAGTCACTTATTCTAAATATGTGTATGGTCAATAAGGGATGCTGAAAAGGATACCTTTCAAAGTGCTTAAGTCCTAGTTGACTACAAGAATTCTCTTTATTTCTAAAATTAAAAATAGACATTGGGGAGGGTATGTGCTATGGTGAGCACTGTGAATTCTGCAAGACTGTTGAATCACAGATCTGTACCTCTGAAACAAATAATACATTATATGTTAAAAAAAAAAAGATGGAAGGAGGGAAAAAGAAGGGAGGGAAATCGGAGGGGGAGACGAACCATGAGAGACGATGGACTCTGAAAAACAAACTGAGGGTTCTAGAGGGGATGGGGTGGGGGGATCGGTTAGCCTGGTGATGGGTATTAAAAAGGGCACGTTCTGCATGGAGCACTGGGTGTTATACGCAAACAATGAATCATGGAACACTACAGCTAAAACTAATGATGTAATGTATGGTGATTAACATAATAAAAAATAAAAATAAATAAAATTAAAAATAAAAGTAAGTGAGACAGTATTCCATAAACTGATACCTAGTCTGCTACTTGCTAGCTAAGTGACCTTAAGCAAATTCTTAATCTCCCTGCGAAAGAAGCAGATGGTAGGAGTATTCAGTACATATGGCTGTTCCGAGGTTCAAACAATAATGTACATACAAGAGCTTTCCACATTCAGTGGTATTATTTTTATCATCTAAAATCACTGCCCATTAGTCTGTCCATCTCTCCTTTAAAAGCTTTCTAGGCTCTTAGTTACTTCCAAGAAAATGGAAGATATTTACTTGCCAAGATGATGTTTTTGAGAATCCTCAACACTTGGGGAAAAACCCTACCCATCTGCTTCTAATCCTAATCCTACCCCCAACATACACTCTCCAGTTTATCACAAACTGTATTTTTGTTAAAAACCCAGGTGTAACACCTTCATCACTCTAACCAATCCATCATAGAGCTGGATGTGTTCTACCTCTATGTACCACTTGAACTGATTCTTTTCTCTCCATCCCCAGTGCTTCTCCATGAGACCAAGTCATCACTGATTTGCACTTTTTACAAACAAGTCGGATTATTTTGTCACTCTAAAATATCACTAGAAAAATCAGATTTTGTCAGTTTTCTTTTTAATGGTATCCAACTCGAACCCTTCTTTCTAGTCTAGGCAATATGCCAATTCTTCATCAATAAAATCCGTCTCATTTCTACGTCTTTGCCTTCACTTATGAGATCTCTCTTTCTTCACTTATGAGATCTCTCTGTACTTGCATGCCATCTCTACTTCTCTTCTCTCTGACAAATTTTTCCAACTTGCAGCAGCTAGTAATTGCTGACTATTCCATCCACAATGATTTCTCCTTTACTGAAATGCTATTGCCCTTGTAGTCAGACCCATACTGTTTAGCTGTGTAGTGGAATTTAGCTGTGGAATCTGAACAATATATATGCTGTATAGCCTAGTGTCAAATTCAGGTAAGCACACAAAAACCGGATTTACAATAAAAGGGAACAAGGTTCAAATTCCACAGCTGTGCCCAGCTGCGTGCCTTTGAGCAAGTTACTTGACCACTCTGAGCTTCCGTCACCTCATCAATGAAATAGATGATGTCTCATGTCACTGTGTTGATAAAATTATAGAGCATATGAAAACTATAAAATATCTATGCAATGCCTGACCCTGTAGGAGACTGCTGTAAACTGCTGTGTGCAATGTAACTCCAGGGAGCACCATCATCTTGAGCAGGGTATGTGGTGCCAACACAGCCAACTTGTTATGGTGGTACCTCCTAGTAGGTTAAGTAGTCAGTATTATTATTACTTACTTCATGTATTTTGACCTTTCTTATGATGCAGATCATAAGTGTGGGAGGGCAGCCATCCTCAAGTAATAATGGACAACATAATAGGTACACATTTAGTAAATATTTCCCTATTCTTCCCGCCCCATCCTGCAACAAATTTGTTTCTGTGAAGTTGAGTTTTTGACCCATACCACTGGCTTTCATTGAAGAGTGTATTAAAAATGTCTGTCACATAAAACAAATTGCTATTTCTTTTTCAGGGACATGTTTATGGGCACTGCCCTGACGTTTCCTGGTGCCGCCTCTTTGAAATTCAGTGTGAGAGATTTCTTTTGGAACTCAAGTCTAAGAAAAGCTTTGCTTCTCTTAAAAAACATGTATAAATCACAGGGATGCTGATAAATATGTAATAGACTATGTTTCTTTTTTTATTTTGGTTATCAGGAAGCTGAAGGTCAAATATAATATTCCACTTCAGCAACTAACTAGAGTCTTAGGACTTGCTGACCGTATGACCTTTTTTCCCCTGCTGGTCTGTACCATCACTGTAATATAACTTTGCCTATAAATGTACCTGTTAATTTCCCACTAATATCCATTCTCTCTTTCTTCCTTTTATTAATAAAATTCTCTGAGTTTTAGTGACCTTCAGGAAGCTGAAGGTCAAATATAATATTCCACTTCAGCAACTAACTAGAGTCTTAGGACTTGCTGACCGTATGACCTTTTTTCCCCTGCTGGTCTGTACCATCACTGTAATATAACTTTACCTATAAATGTACCTGTTAATTTCCCACTAATATCCATTCTCTCTTTCTTCCTTTTATTAATAAAATTCTCTGAGTTTTAGTGGGGCACATGGATGTCCAGTTTGAGACAACATTTCTCAGCCTGCTTTCACTAAATGACTAATTGGATATGACAGGCGTGTTGCGTACAATTTCTGGGTCATGCCCTCAACAGGAAACTCTACTCTCTCCTTCCTCTTTTCTCTTCTGAGGGACTATGACTTAGACATGGTGCTGATGAGCCAACTTTGACCTTGTGGAAAGGGCAATGTCTTAGGGGAGAGAGCAAAAATTGAGAAGGATCCCTAGAATATTATCAAGCCCCACCCCAATGGACTCCAGTCCAGTTGAACTTTCATGTGAGTGAAAATAAGCTTTCAGTTCTAAGCCCGTGTTATCTTGGTCCTTCTTACAGCAGCTGAATCAATACCCTACCTAATACACCCTCATCCTAATATTCTGTTTTTACTTACATAGTTTACTTTTGTTCATGTATATTTCTTTAAGCTATTTCTACTACTTCTGTTGTTTGTATGAATGGAAAGAGAAAGAGAAATGAACCCCACACACTGACAAGCTTGACAACTAGAATCTGCCCAAACCCCTATCACACTTCATACAAACTCATTTCTGAAGTAGAATGATTCTCTTTTCAAAATGTGCTCAAAGAGGAATACTAATTTGCATTTGTTTAGACCTTTTAAATTTTACTTCAAAACACTGTCCTATCTTACACAGAAGGGAGAAGTAAAAAGAGAATCTTCTGTCCTTCAGGTTCAACAAGGCATACACATGGCATTTTTCCCAAACTCAAATAGGTGACCTAACCTCAGCAATCACGGAGAGAGGATTAACAGATGTGACAGTTAAGCAGTGATCTTGAGTATCATTTTTCTTCATGTGAATGGACTTATAAAAAATTAAAATAGCAATACATATTCAACTTCACAAGCTAAACATTTTAGGGAATCTTAAAGAAAAACATGGTGATCCTTCTTCCCCTTGTCTGTAGTCTACCTGAGGTAATCAATGTTGAAGTATTCATTCTTGCATCTCCCTATTCTCCTATAGCCATATCTGGACATATATGGGCTTATTTTTACATAATATATCAGGAGCATAAAACATACACACTTAACTCACATTCATAAAAACTGAGATAAATAATGTTTCCTAGAATGGCTGTACCAAGTTTTAAACAACCAGCCTCATTTTGAGGAAATAATTTAATTAGCTAGTCTCCTATTGATATAAATAGAAAAAAAAAAACTATAGGATATATTTTGGAGATCAATTTCTATTAGTTCTACCTTGAAATTATATCTTCAAATCCATTTAATTTTCTCTGTCTCTCCCATCTTCACCACAGGCCAAGCTATCATTATCACTCACTGGGACTATTGCAACAATTTCCTCCTCATCTCTATGTCTCCATTCTTGTCCCTTGCAATCCATTCCTACAGAGGAATGGATTTTCTTTTTCTTTTAAAAACCTAAATCAGATGAAGTCATCCCCCTGTTTAAAAGCTTCCAATTGTTTCTCATTGATGTGAGAAGAAAATCCAAACTCCTTCCAATGTTCCAAAAGGTAAAAAGCTTCCATGGCTCTTCACACTGGTCCTTGCTTAAGCCTCCAACCTTATGACTAACCACACACCCCACCCCCCCCCACCACCCTGGCTTTTTCTTTTTGCTTTGGGGCCTCTGTAAAGATTTATTTACTTCTTTGCTGCTTCCCCCACTCAAATAAGTATCCTGAGAGGAAAGATCTTCTCTCCTTTGCTGCCATATTCCTAGCACCAAGAACAGTGTTTGGCATATAAAATGTGCTCAATAAATATGTCAGATAAATGTACTAATCAATCAATTTCAAACAGACTGGGTTCCATGTACTTTCTGATTGAGAGTTCTATTCCCTCTGTTGAGAGAAAAGGAAAAGAACTATTGACTCATAATTATGTGGCCTGGATTTACATCCCAACTCTATCTTTTGCTAGTAATTTAATTCTTTAGGCCTCAGTTATTATATTTGGAAAATGTGGAATAATGAACTAGCTTTCAGGTTTATAAAGATCAAATAAGGTTAATGGATGTAAAGGCATTTAAAAAAGTCTTAAATGTTATATAAATGTTATTATTTCAATAAACTGGTACATAAATAAGTAATGAAAATATCAAGAATTGAATTAAATTGGACATTTAAATAATTTAAATAATAATTACATGGGAAATACATACATAAAACTTTTACCTTTTTATAACTGGATATTCTCTGACATATGCGCTCAATTTTTTCACTGCAAATGGCACTGAATTTACTCTGAAGGTCAGTAGGAATCACTTCATTTAAAGAGTTAAGGCTGGTACAGTTTTGTACAAAATGTTCATCACTTTTAGCCAGGGCTTCAAGAATCTGTAGAAACACACACACACAGAAAACAAGAAAAGAAAACCTTCAAAATTAGCCAAGTAAAATTTTCACAATTCTAGAACACAGGGTGACTCTACCCAGCACACTTCCCTGAGCTGCTTGGGATTTCTATGTTCAGTAAAACCCTTGGAGTGAAGTGATGGGCTTGTGTGTTTGGCCTCTCATGTCTTGCCTTCTGCCAACTATAAAAGGTTGCCTGAGGGAAGTGAGTGGACTTCAAAGACTCCCTGCTGGATAAATCAGTATGCTCTGATGTGGTAACACATTGCCTATATTTTAGTCAGAGTTACTCAGAACATTTTTTTCCCCAATTTGGCAGAAGAACAACAAAAACTAAGGAAAACCAACAAAATGGCATCCTTACTTTTTTTTTTTTAAAGATTTTATTTATTTATTTATTAGAGAGCGAGCGAGAGAGAAACAGCATGAGAGAGGAGAGGGTCAGAGGGAGAAGCAGGCTCCCCGCTGAGCTGGGAGCCCGATGTGGGACTCGATCCCAGGACCCTGGGATCATGACCTGAGCCGAAGGCAGTCGCTTAACCAACTGAGCCACCCAGGCGCCCTGCATCCTTACTTTCTATTGACAGGCCAGCACAGAGAATGCATGTAACAAATGTTTGCTGATGAAATGAATAAATAAGAAATTCTCTTGCTAAAGTAGTATCAATGATAGTTGCAGTGTCTTAGCTCCATCTGATAAAGCATCAGATAAAAGCATCCATATGATGTATTCAATTAATAAATCCTTTTGGCAATTTGAATCAATTGTAAGACAGCACTTGTGTGTGTTTATGTATATACACACTATTGATCACTGAGAATTTCCAATGAGTTGAATTAATTATGTGTCATATTGATGACTGTTCAAAGATTGCAAGGATTGGTAACACCCTTACATGACATTTTTATAATATTGAATGAGGGATACAATGTATAGATGCTGTTTATTTGAGCTCCCTCACCACCTCTACTTCCCTGACTTACAGAATATAAAGTGTGAGCTTTTTGTTTAATCACTACTCTAGATAGTAGAGCTCACTTTATCATTAGCTGTGTGATCTTGGTTAAATTCCTTAATTTCTTTGATTTTCTTTTCTTCATGTGTAGAATGGAAATATTTAGAGGATTTATACATTTCATATATATAAAATAATCCATGTAACTTTGCAAATTTGAAATAGCTAGAAAAGGAGATAAAATGCTAATAAACTGGTTCCAAACTCTTACATGGATTGCCTTAGTAATAATAAGGGGTTGCATTTTGAAAATACAGATTCTATATCAAAAGATACATAGAATAATGGAATTTTTTCTGAGGTTGACTTTCAGAATATAAAACAAAAACATAAAATAATTTTTGAAATAGTGCATAATCTATCTCAACCACTCATATATAAAACAAGGGTTAACATGAAAAAATAAAAGTAGTGAAGCTATATGTCGTATTTCTTACTTGTAATACCTGAATCCTCACCAGGTGATAGAAAAGCATGAGAAATACTAGAGCTCAGACCTGGGGAGGGTCCAACAGGAGTTTTACTGATTTACCTACTGGAAGAATCATGAAAAGCAAGCACAGGGTCACCTCTCAACCACATTTTATCCATTTGATGAAAACTCCCTTCCTCCCTATCTTGGTTTAATCTAAAGACTAAGGATGATATCCTTCCCAACTAAGAATTACATAAATGTCTGAGGGTCTGTTCATAAATGGATCTCTAAGCTTTGTGAAATTTTATGAAATAAACATGAGACTTGCAGAATTTGAAGTTTCTTATAATACATTTCATGACTTCAAATACTTTTCAGAGGATTATCTACATTTAAAAAAGCACCACCTGTCACAAAAACCATCTGAAAGGTATTCATGACACTGAATCAACAGATGTAGCAAACTTAACTAAATGCAGGGAAGCCTTTGCCAAATCAACTAACATTTGCCTGGGCAAGAGTCCCATCTAACTTCACACTGTGCTCCAAAAGAGATCAATAAAAAGAAAGGTTGTACGCATACCGAGTAATGGGGGGAAAAAAAGAAAAGAAAGTTGAATGAGCTGACAGCTATTTGCATTTTTTAAAGTGGAGGTGGGGGAGGGTGTCAGTGACTTTATTTAGAACAAAATCCCTTGTTTTGCCAGGGTCACGCATACCTTGGCAGTGAGGCTGAAGAAGCCTTTGGGCTCGATCATCTTCTCCACCACGTTGCACTTTATCCCAGCTGTGCTGTCATACTCATACACGACACCATATTCCAGATGCACGTTATCCACTGTGAGACTCACGTGCTCCTTCTTCCCGTCAATGATGGCCATGGTGTTAAACTTGTCAATCACCTCTGGAACAGAGACAATTTTTTTTTTTTTTTTAAAGATTTTTATTTATTTATTTATTATTTGAGAGAGAGAGGGTGAGAGACAGAGAGCACGAGAGGGGAGAGGATCAGAGGGAGAAGCAGACCCCCCATTGAGCAGGGAGCCCAATGTGGGACTCGATCCAGGGACTCCAGGATCATGACCTGAGCTGAAGGCAGTCGCTTAACCAAATGAGCCACCCAGGCGCCCGAGACAATTTTAATTCAGCAAATTCAGGAAGGGTTTGTTAGTCTCTTCAAAGAATTTGAGTCTCTCCGAATAATTTTTAAAGATTTCTTGAAAGGATGGCTAAATCCAATGGTCTCGTTAACATTTTTAAAAACAAGAACACTTAAAAAAAAAAAAAATATGTTGAAGCGATCCAAATCTCACCACTCTAACATGACTAGTCTTTGCACATCCATTTTGGTCTATGGACCATATGTATGCCTATTTATACCATTATAAACATTATACATACAATTTTATATTTTTTATTAGAAGCATGCATGACTTAAAAGTCAGGGCTCCTAAAACTGCCTCAAACATTGAATGAATATTTGTTCAAAGCAGAAAAAAACATATAAAGTCATTCTGAAGAAGCAGAAAGGAGGTGCAATAATCATTTTTTTCAGCAGACAGGATGCATGAATTTTCCCAAACAACATCTTCTGCAGATAGCTCATTGAGAAAATTTGTCATTGTTCGCTATAATAACATTTTCATCTAGACTGTCTTCCTATCGGTTTTTGGCCTACAATCAGTCAGTGGCATAAAAACACCTAAAATCTCAAGCAGGAAACTCCTGAGAAACCTAACAGCAAATAGTAAATTAGCAAAAACAGAGTATTAGTTAACTAAAAACAATTAAGTCCTAGAATGGCAGAAATAGTAAATATAAAATAGGCAAAAGCAGAATAATGGTTTATTTTAAAGTAACTGAGTCCCAGAAGAGCTAGAAATAAATTATCAGAGCATCTCATCAACCCTTTCACTGTGGCACTAATGATAATGAGCAAAAAAAAGCTAACTCTAAATGAGGAATAAAGACCTCACGATAAGGTCCTGAGATTTGTCCTAGTTTAAATAATTAAGAAAGTTGGTATGTCATAACAACCTTGGTGCTCCAATGTGGTTGAAATACTTCTAATATCGTCCATGATCTTAGTGGCTCGTACCCAGTGGCCTTCCAGGAGTGGGGGGAACAGAGTTTTTGCTGAGTGCTCCCCCCTCTTATGATAAGTGTGTATAGGGGATTCTGTAACTGGGCTGGCTGGAAGAACCTAATAGTACAATAAAAATGTCCAGAGTTATCCACTAATAATGTAAATGGAAAGATAACAGAAAAAAGGTAAGAGAGGGTTCAAGGACTTCTGTGAAAAAGTGTTGAAACAATAATTCAAGGTATTTGTCAAATGCAAACATAACTTTAATTGCCTCCATCCCTTTACCTTTGGTGAAGAAGCCACTGAATCCAGCAATCTGCTGGTTACTTCACTGAGAAAACCGAAATGGTCTGAGCCCTTATCAAAAGATCTCTTTATCTCATTTCTACATTATTAGTTTGTCTCTTTCATTATAATTAATGTTAGAAGACAGTAAAAATTACTTGAATCAAGAAAGTATTTTCAAAGAGACTATAGACTTTCTAAACTCAGGCTTCAAATTTTAGTGCACATACAGATCAGATCTTGTTAAAATGGAGATTCTGTTTCAATAGGTCTGGGGTGGGGCTGAGATTCTGCATCCCTCCAGCTGATATTGTAGCTTCTAAACCACACAGGATTAGGAAGGTCTACACAACGTTTAAACTCAAAACAAGGAAACACATTATAACTTGGGTTTGAATCTGCATTCTACAGTTTACTGGATTGGGCAAATCCCTTAAGCTAATAAGCCTCAATTTCTTCTTCCATAAAATAAGGATGATGACAATAACACTACTGAGAGATTTCCTTTTTTGATGACTTTATGAGTTAACCCATGTAAAACACTTAAAGTGCCTAACAAAGTATAGTAGCTATGACATGTTAGTGACTAGCTATTATTACTTATGTATTTACATAACATCTATTTGGTGATAATGATTTAAGAAAGTGGCTTGAATATACAAGATTTTCAATAATAGGGACTAGACACAGGCACATTGAAAAAGAATACTCTATAAGCAAATGAAGAGAAAAAGAAGGAACCCACCTTCTACTTTGCAGTCAAAAGCATCCCCTACTTCATCTCCAGGAGGTTTGGAGTTAGACTTTTGAAGGTCTTCTTGAGCGCTCTCAATGCTATTATAAACCCATTGTATGGAATCTTGCTGGAATGAGGAGGGGGAAAGAAACCTCAGAGGTATTAGTGGTTCTAAAAAGGCATATCCATTTCACAAACCTGCTTTAGGAGAGTTGACAACCTTATTTATTCTTCTAGTTTATTTAAAGATAATAAAATTTGAAAGAGAAAGAAAATCAACATCAGAAACTAACACAAAGTCAATGGCAATTATATTATTTAGCAAATTGATTTTTTTTAGGCTTGAAATTTTATCTTTCAAAGATGTTTTTAAATAGGCTGTATTTATCAAGTGTCTTACTTAAATGCCTCAAGTATATCTTAAATTATAAATTACATTTTTAAATAAATAAATGCCACGGGGCGCGTGGGTGGCTCAGTCAGTTAAGCGGCTGCCTTCGCCTCAGGTCATGATCCTGGAGTCCCGGGACCGAGTCCCGCATCGGGCTTCCTGCTCGGCAGGGAGTCTGCTTCTCCCTCTGACCCTCCCCTCTCTCATGCTCTCTGTCTCATTCTCTCTCTCAAATAAATAAATAAAATCTTTAAAAAAATAAAAATAAAAATAAATAAAATAAATGCCACATGGACAGTTTTCTGAAGAATCAATCATCTATCACTATACAAACCACTTAAATGCTCTCCTGACACATATATTTAATCCAGTTAATGTTTTTTTGAATCAAACCAATAAGAAAATTGGAAGAACATCTTTCATTTCATTGGGTTCCCAAGTGATGTAACTATTTTTTAATCCTTCCATATCATAAATCATCTTATATTTTAATTAAAATAGCAGTTGCAGGCTTATCTAAATAAATGAGAAAGAGGAAGTGGCCACCAAGTAATCGCTTTCAGGTCTGCATGACTTACTTTAAAGTTTATACCTTTCCTAGGTCAGATGATAAACTGAATTGCACTACTGAAGTGTGATATAATTTACATTTTTCTCTTGTCTTAACTTCACAATTGTGTTTCATTATTATATTGCTATCCAAATGCTAGTTAACATTTGATCATTCAAATACACCTTGGTAACCTGTTGTGACCCCTAAGGAACCACATGCTCTGGTATCCACACCTCTGTGTAGCTCCTTCCCACACTGACCCAAAGCTTGGTCATGGGATCTGATTTTCCCAAAGGGATATTAGTAAGCATGATATAAATAGAGTTGATGGTTTTATCCCCTTTTCAAATGCAGATACCGTGCAGGAAGGACAATCCGCTAGACTGGAAAAGGAGGCCATGTGGAGGAGCTCAGGAGTGAGAAAACACGAGGAGGGGAGTTGCAGAGCCCAGGTGTTTCCAGAACAAATTCGCCACATCAGTGCCTTTACAGGAACCAACACTCAATCGATCCGCAAAATCAAGGGAAATAATCAATCCCTGTTGTTTTAAGCCACTAAGTTTTCGGACAGTCTGTTTTGTGGCAATGGATACGTGATAAAGTAGGTTACTCAGTGAATTTTTCTGTTTATTGCTTTTCTTTTTTTAAAAAAAGATATTTTTTATTTGGGTGTTATATGTAACTGATAAATTGTTGAACACTACATCTGAGACTAATATGTACTATATGTTGGCTAAAAGAATTTAAATTTAAAAAAAAGATCTATTTATTTATTTGACAGAGACAGAGAGAGAGCACAAGCAGGGGGAGAGGCAGAAAGAGAGAGGGAGAGGCAGGCTCCCCACTGAGCAGGGACCCAATGCGGGGCTCCTTCCCAGGACCCTGGGATCATGACCTGAGCCGAAGGCAGATGCTTAACCAATGAGCCACCAGGTCCCCCTATTTATTGCTTTTCTTAATCATTTCACTAACCAACTCCTCTCTAAGAAGGCAGTCAAGGAAAATGAAAAGGAATGAAACTCAAATCAATCTGGCTACTTATCAAAATTCCGATTGAAGGGGAAAGGTTTGAGAATATCAGAACTGTCTTTTTAAAAAATTCACTCAATAATACAGCTCAATAAATATTTATTAAACCGTTATCAACCAGAATAACCTATGAGTCTATGCATGAATTCCAATTTGCTTTGCTAGTTTAGACCTTATTAATAAGCAAAATTGATGAGGTATTTTCTTGTAGGTTCAGTATTTTGCAGGATGTCAGTCCTGGCCTATGAGAAAATAACCACTTCTCTCTCTGGTTTGGACAGAGTCATATTTTCAAATCCAGAAGAGTACTTGGCTATGCATGAAGGAAAAAATACAAAGCCTCTCCTCTAAAATTCCTTTTACATTTAGTTGATTAATTTGAGAGAATTTTCTCTTATAGCCCAATATTCACTGTATCTCATGGGATAAGCTTTGCTTAAAATTAGGATTCTAATTTTATTTTTCTATAGCACTTGAAATTTAATCAGAGGATAATGCTTAGAATTTTAAGTAATGACAAGTACATTTTGGTATTTTCTTTCAAAAGCTAAATCCAATTACTTAAATAAATATATCCAAAACTTATTCACAGAGCCTATAAAACCCACACAGACACACAATGACCATTAAATGTCCTAAAGCATTCGCAAGGGTCAAGAAAACAATTCAAACCTTTGGATTTCAATCTGATAAACAGTTGGGTCCTTGAACACTCCCATCATAATGCAAATGTAAGTACCCCAGAGCACTTTTTAAACCGGTGATAATACTGTTAACAATAAGATGCAATCATTTTAAGCACAACCGATTATAAATAATTATATTATAATTATTATATTATAATATATACATAATATAATAATAATTATATTGTAACTGATTATAATAATTATCTTGAGAACAACTGATTATAAATAATTATGCAAGTAAAACGATCATCGTGAGATTTACGATGCTGTGCTTTAGTGTGAACTTAGAAGTACAAACTGCACGCATCCCTGCCACTATCTCGTGTTGTCCTTTCCGCCTTCTGTGCAAGTTTGCAATGAGATCTGGGCAAGCTGCAGGGCAATTTACCTTCATTGGTCTTCTGTATTTCCTGCAGGCTGTAACATGTGCAATAACACTAGCATGGGTCTCTTTGCTGACATTGATTCCATTGACTTTGATAATACACTGTCCAGGGTGAAGACCAGCCGCTGCAGCCACAGTTCCTTCAAATACAAATGAGAAAATTGCCAGAAATTTGAGGAATGAGATTCATTTTTATCACACAGGCAACGAGGAAAGCAATTTTAAAATATAACTGAGATCTAGCTAGTATGTTCTTGATAAATTTGGTTCTGATAGCAATGCCCTCTCAACATTTTTCATCTTTTCATCTGGCCATTCAAACTGTGATGAACAGAATATTCTCCCATCACCCTAAGAATGAGTTTGAAGGGATATTGTAAAGCGACCTTTATAATGCTAATCAGTTATTTTCCCTCTCAAGGGTCTAGTCAGTCTTAATTTTCTACCTATGCATATATAATGGCAAAATGGAAAGCCAGAAACGTATGCCTTATTTATCTTTCTTTAGTTTATAAAATCTCCAAATATTAAAATAGTGTTCACTTTCATTTGTTTTTCTTAGTAGCACTTATTGCAAGGGCATTTCTGAAATTTACAATAGCTTGTAAATCTCAGTCTTATTCCTCTTTAATTTATTTTTTAAATTCAAGTATAATTAACATACAGCATTATATTAGTTTCAGGTGTACAATATAATGATTCATCAATTCTATAATCACTTTCATTTTTTAAGATGCAAACAGTTAAAAGAAATTCTTAAGGGAAAAAAAGTCAAGTCAATTAGCAATTACAAGTAGACTGGATCTGCTAAGTAAAATAAGCATTCAGGATATCTACAAAGGGTCAGAAACCACAGAATTGGTGGAAAATAAAATTAATCGGATAACATCAACTGTCCATCATTTATTTGCACAGATATAGACTTAAATATGCAAGTGGAATATCCTATCAGTGAGTTAAGATTTTCAGAAACTTTCAGTCATTATTAGTTGATATTCTGAGCAAATCAACCTTTACATAGCACCATTAATAAATACAATGAATATAATTAATATAAGTGATTATAAAACCTATGTTAGAAGAGCCTTCTTTTGTAAGCAATTTCTCCCATGAAGGAATTATTAAACTTCTTAGAGAACATAATTTATATTCAAGAAGATGGTATATATATTTTTTCTCACTAAAATTCACTTCCAGAAATACTAAGTGGTTTTTCTGGATTGAAGTAGATCTTGGAGGGAAAAGGGACACTCCCCATAGAAAGAATAGCCTGAAAAAAGGCACTGAGTCAAGAAATAACCTGGATATTTGGGAGCATATGAGCAGTTGGTGAGAGCTTAAAATGGGAGTGGTAGATGAAGACCCTGGAAAGCCAAGCAGAGCCAGGTTGTGAAGTCCTCACACACTTGATGTGAAGTCCTAAGACCTTAACCTTACTATATATGCATGAGGAAAAGCATTTAAGAATTTTAAGCAGACAAGTGACATGATCCCCGAAAACAGAGGATGGATCTTTGGAGTTTAAGTCAAAAATCACAAGCACAAGCATCTACTGCAATTTTCTGGACTAGAACTAAAGAAGCATTTATTACAGAAGGGGAAAATAAGATCAAGTATTTGATATGTGATGACAGAATTTGTGAAGAGGTTACAGTCCCCAGGATCACTCCTCTGCCTTTGGACTCAGTGGCTGAGTAGATAGTCATTTAAACAAAGAGAATACAGAAGGCAAAGCAAGTTCAGAGAATAGATGAAAAGTTCAGTTAGAGATAATACTGAGGTCTGAGCTAGAGGCAGAGATTTAAAAATCTCCAGCAAGAGGATCAATAAGATTTCTTACAGAGAACAAGAAGCTAGAGAAGAGAAAAGAGAGCCAACAGTTAAGGGGTCGATAGATGAAGGGAGCTGCCAGAGGACAAATAGGAGAAAAATCTGAAAAGTGTCATCTCAGAAATCAAGAGATGAACATTTTCAGTAAACAGGAGTAGTCAGTTTAAACAAATGCCACAGAAAGTTCAATTAATACAAATGTTATCAATGTCCATAGTACTTTTCCGTCAAGTCCATGATAACTCTTATAAGACAGATTTTGGAGACATGGGTGGGAGATGGGGAGAGATGTCTACAGCATTGGCCTAAAACTCAAATAAGAAGTGAAAGAAGGGCAGCTGAAAATACAGACAGCATTTCAGGATGTTTGCTCATGACAAAATAAAAGTTATCAGAGCACTATTCTAGAGCTGAGTTTATCAATCTTGGATGTGCATACAAATCATCTGAGGCTCTCATTAAAATGTAGATTCTGACTCAGTATGTCCTGGGTGGGTCCTAAGAGTCTGCATTTCTAACCAGATCCCGGGCAATGCCAATGCTGTATGTCTGTGGATCACATTTTGAGTAGCAAGGATCTAGACGGGAAAACAAGGAAAAGGGAAAGGTTCTGTGTTTGCTGTTCTAGTTTAAGATCATTTTGTTTCTTTGTTTATTTTAGTGGAAAAGAACTGAGCATGCTCACAGCCTGTACTAGAATAATCCAATGAAGAGAAAAGGCTGAAATTCTGGAAGGGGATACCTAACAATGTAATACTCCAGAGAAGGTATCTGAAGGGATGAGATCTAGAACACTTAAAGAGAAATTCACCTTGAACTCTAAAAAGGAAAAAAGACCTCTTCCTCTAGGGTGGGAGAAAGCTGGTGATGGTGGTGGAGTCAGCAAAAGGTGTGGGTGTGCAGAAAAAGGTGTGGGGCTCTGAGGGTTTCATACCTAGGACTCTGAATTTATCTGTGAGGTGAAAAAGGAAGTTCATCTGGGGAGACAGGAGGGAATTATGAGAAGAAAAAGAGGGAGGTGATCAGAGACATGAAAAGATTGCTGAGTAGTAGACGGGCCAGTAAAAGACAGGACGGTGAATGGGGATGACACTAATTCCACATCCGTGATAGTTTTTTTCCCAGTTACTTAGGAGAAAAAGCAAAAAGGATGGTTAAGTTGATCCAAGGCTAAAAAGAGGTGACATGGTGCACATGAAGAATAATGACAAGAGGACCCTGGTGATGCTGGCAACTATGACTGAGGTGACCTACCATGGGGATAAGGCTGGCTAAGGAAGGGAGTCTTCGGGGGAAAAAGAGAAGGATCCAGAGCCTGGAGGTCCCAAATGAATTAAAACAAAACAAAACAAAACAAAACAAAACAAAACAAAACAAAAAACAAGCTGAGAATATCAAAGTGATGAGATTGCAGTAAGAAATTGGCATATTGGAATTTTAAATTCCAAAGGTGAAATTTCAGTTATAGATATACTCTAGTATGTGGCCATGGGAAGGGGCTGAAGAAGAAAAAGGGAGGGCGCCTGGGTGGCTCAGTTGGTTAAGCGACTGCCTTCGGCTCAGGTCATGATCCTGGAGTCCTGGGATGGAGTCCTGGGATCGAGTCCTGCATCGGGCTCCCTGCTCAGCGGGGAGTCTGCTTCTCCCTCTGACCCTCCCCCCTCTCATGTGCTCTCTCTCTCTCTCAAATAAATAAAATCTTTAAAAAACAAAAAGAAGAAAAAGGGAAACAAGTTTTCCTTTCTTACAGCAAAATTACAGTGCAAAAAGAAACCATGGAATAGTATCTTTTTATTTAATATACATCTGAAAGGAAAAGCACATGAGCATTTCTGTCTTTTACTCTTCAGAAACAAAGAGCATAGGAACCAGATTTGGGCCTACCCTACAACTACGTTGCAAAGACGGAACCCAGCTCTTTAAATGACACTGTAATAAGGACAGAAGCACAACTTGATTCACTCAGGTTTTCGGTTATTTTACAGTACTCATAAAGTGACTTACTCTTTTTTGTTTAGTGAAAATGAAGAGCGTGGATATATCGACTCTCCCCTTTCAGTATGAAATATATCCCATTTCAGTTCTATAATATGAATGAGTTGTTGGAAAGGTTTTAAATGTCTATTAGTCTATATGTTTTAAACATCTGAGTGAAAAGACAAGTTTTTGAAATAAGATTCATTTTTGTCATATATACACTAATGAAGGCAATTTTATAATCTAATAAAGGTCTAGCTAGTATGTTCTTGATAAATTTGATTCTGATAGTAATGCCCTCTCAAAATTTTCCAGACTAATATTTGGGTGATCATATTAAGATGTTTTACATTTTATGTTTCTTAGTCATGAAAAGCATGTATGTCTCTTGTTAAGATAAACACATGCCCTCTTTGCTTATAAAGACATTTCTTTCTATAGCAGCAAGTTATATACTCTGTGGGATCTAACAGTCATTCCCTTAAATCATTACTAGTGTTAGTATAATATAAAATTTAAAATGCATATAACAAGAGATATCAATGCAAAGCAAGCAAAAAAACAAAATATAAACATATATTATTTAATTTAAAATGCATTTTATGGTTTATGAAATGCTTCATTTATAGAAATACTTGAAGTAATCATATAGCAACAGGTTATAAAGCACACAGATAATTCTTAAACCTGAAAACTTACATCTTTGAGTTGCTGACAAAATATAGTTATTTGCCACCAGGAAAAAATACAAATAGACAACCTTAAAATTGTTATATCCTTTGGCTAAACTGAAACATGCAGAAAAGTGAGATTGGGAGGCATCGTTCTCTCATCAGTTTTTAAAAATTTTTTTATTTAAATTCAATTTAAATAACATGTAGTGTATTATTTGCTTCAGAGGTAGAATTTAGTGATTCATCAGTTGCATATAACACCCATTTCTCATTGCATCACGTGCCCTCCTTAATGCCCATCACCCAGTTACCCCATCCCCCCACCCACCTCCCGGAGCTCCAGCAACCCTCATGTTTTTCCTAGAGTTAAGAGTCTCTTATGATTTGTCTTCCTCTCTGCTTTCATCCTATTTTATTTGTCCTTCCCTTCCCCTATGTTCATCTGTTTTGTTTCTTAAATTTCACATATGAGTGAAATCATACAGTGTTTATTATTCTCTGACTGACTTATTTTGCCTAGCATAATGCCCTCTAGCTCCCTCCATGTCATCAGTTCTCAACAGTGATAAATGTGCCTTACAATTTTTAAGAGTTTTTTAAAAAACAGTGTTTTAGGAATGTACTGCCATCGAGCCAATAAGGTAAAAATATGATTGAGAAAATTCACGACAACATGACCATGCACATTTTGAACATATTCGTGTTCAGCAAGCAATATCCAAACATGCTGTAAAGCTGTTTGCCATGCAGGATGACTTTCTCACCTCTTCCCACTGCATGGACAACCGATGGGCCATATCCTCGGATCTGGAATCCAAGTCCCTCAGCTGAATCGGGGATTTTCACTGTCCTAAAATCAGTCAGAAAATAGGGTAAGATGACTTTAAAATGCCATAGTTGGTTAAAACAATAGTGTCCACGCTTTTATTCATTCTTTCAATAAATACATGTTTAGAGTCTACTGTGTAAAAGACACTGACTGGGCTAGAAACCAGGAAACAGACAGGGCGCATGCCCTCACAAAGGCACCCAGTAGGCATGCACCACAGACTTCCTCAATTGAGCGTGGCTGGTACATGGTACATGCTGAGTAAGGAACAGGCTCTGGGAGCGGACAAAACTGGCTCTGAATCCTCATTTCGTCACTTGATAGTTGAATAACTTGCATGAACTCCTTAACTTCTCTGAGCTTGAGTTTCCACAGAAAGGATGTTACAACTTACTTTGCAGGGGGTCAGTGGAGATTAAAAGAGGAATCTTTGGTCAACTGCCCTACATCATGCTATGAATTATGTAGGCACTTCAATAAAATGGAAGCTTCTCTCCTTAGTTTACTGTTTTTGTTTTTTTTTTTTTAAGATTTATTTATCTTAGAGAGAGAGAGAGAGCTCGTGAGCAGAGTTAGGGGCAGAGGGAGAAGGAGAGAATCCTCAAGCAGACTCCTTGCTGAGCTTGGAACCAGACTCAGACTCAGGGCTACATCTCACGACCTGAGTTCATGACCTGAGCCAAAATCAAGAGTCGACTGCTTAACCGATGGAGCCACCCAGGCGCCCAACTCCTTAATTTACTGTTACAAAGAAGCCAGCGCACTGTGAAATTTCTTTGTTAAAAGTAATAAAAGAAACACAGAGTTAATATATTCTACCTGTTGGGAACGTCATCAAAGAACAACAACAAAAAGCTAGTTATAAAGAAGAGATCTGTCAAACACTACATCAAAATAATTTAAGAATGTGATTAACTTCAGTATTTATTCAGTGAAATTTTGAAAGAATAATACATCAAAAGGGAAAACCTGAATAAGAGAAGAAGTATTTTCAATGAAGCCATGTGGAAAAGAAGATGAAGGAATGCTGCTGTTATGTCAAAGCAGTGAGGGATGTCCAGTCTGGCACTAATAAGTGAGCCACTCCACAGAGGGAAGCCAGGGATCAGAGAGCAACGATGAAATGCAGAGAGCATGAGATAAGGCGGAACATCATAATAATAAAAACGAGCATCATAAATTGCAGTACAGAGCAAAGACAAACGAATACAATGCAATAAATTTTGATGGATAGCCCTCGATGCCCAAGAAACAAAATTGTTTTCCAAAAGATGATGAATTAATCATGAGATAAATGTCAGTGGCACTTCAAGGGCACATTCGACAGAATCTGAAGTTAGGTACATCGGCACTTACTTAGAGTTTGTAAAAAAAAGCTGCTAGAGCAGTTTGAGCAACACTGTGCCTGGAACACTTGAGAAAACGCTATATGGCATTGTGTCTGATGGCAGAGGCTGGTCCCGCAATCTGAACTATAACTGAGGCAGGCATTCCAGCATTTGGTGATAGAAATATGAATTATCTGTTTTAGGGAAAGCTGAAAGTAGTATTATGAATTAGGTTACACACTATGAGTAGGTTATACACTATGAAGTGATCTGCATATTGGTGGAGTAGAGGTCACAGAATGAATATATCCTTTATCCTTAATTATACACTTTTTGGTGTATAAGGCTGTATTTGCTTGCTTTGAATAGCACCTTGTTACTAGTGTCTGTCAAAGAAAAAAAAAAAGACACCTGAAAATGGAAGATAACTGACTAAGGAAAAGAAAAGGGAATAAATACATTTTCTGAGCATGAAACAGAAAAACAGAAGTAGCTTATGCTTCTGTATATTATGAATGAGAGTTCACTTTTGCTGAAATAACTTCAAGCTCTCAGGCCATGGTGAGTTATTGTTGCTTTTGGATTGTGAGGAATTCACAGCAGCCTCTTGGTTCTTTCTGAGCAAGGTCTTCTATCCTTCTAATATTGCTAGGGAAGGTTGACCTTACTCCAATCTTCAAGAAGATTATTGTAGATTTCTTTAAAAATTTTGTACAAAACACCATGAGATGCATTTTGGTCATAATACTGGGGCCCTCTTCATAAAATGATCTTTGGAAAACATGTTGCCCTGCTGGGACCACTATATTGTCTAGTAAATGAAGAATTAAATTTATACAAAAGGAACACTGTATTTCTTGTAGAATGTAAGTGCACTAAATAATCTGCTACAAAGCCTTTTGAAAAATTCTTTGATGCTATCAAGTGTAAAACACAGCTAGTCAAAAGAAAACTTCAGTTGGATTTACTTCTCATATTTTTGCTTTCCTCCCTACCCCCAGACAAGACACTACATCAAATATAAGTGGGTATTGTAAGAAAATATGAGAGAAGGATTTATAGGAATCACACGTTAGAATCAGGACATAAAGGCTATAGATTTCAAGCAAATTAAAAGATGAAAAATGAATACTCTATCCTCAAAACAGTTTTGAAATACAATATAAAATATGTTCCTGATGTAATAAAGAAGCAATGAAAAAAATGAAATAAGACAATAGACAAGCATCACAGATAACATCACTGGAGTACATACCATGTGCTGAACAAGTCACTAAGTTCTTTACAAACCTAAATTTATTTAATGTTCTTAGCAGCTCCATGACATAGACACCCATCATCTCCATTTTTTTATGGATGAAGATGTTGAAGCAAAACAATTAGCAAGCAAGTGGTAGAAGAGAAGCTTGAAACTGGACCAGAAATATTGGGTTCCAAATACTGTGTAACAAACACTGCAGGAAGAGTCAGAGGACACAGGTTCTAATGCTGCTCATCTAGCAGTTAGTTCTAGGACTGAAGATTTGCCCCCATTTAGTCTTAAAGTTGAGGACTTCAGAGTGATCCAACTGTTGAAATGTCTACGATCAGTGAATCGGTAGTTGCAGGGTTAAATCAGGGGGCAATGGGACCATGAGGAGGACCTTTATGTTTACTGATTGATTTGGACTATTACTCCCTTATTCGTTTCTAGTCTGTCCTTTTCCTTTTAAGTGTCCTCAAAGTGTCCAGAGGTAGGCAACTAGGTGAGCCTTACCCTAGATAGGGTTGGGTAAAGAGGGAGTAATAGATCAAAATTAGGTTTAGAGAGAAGACAGTGTTATGGTTATTCTCTGCCCTCTTGCCCAAAGTCTTCCTAAATGAGTAATTTGAATGAGTCACATTCACTCTCTCTTTGGTACGTTTTGGCGTTGACCTTGATGACTTAATGCTGTAGAATCTAGCTCATTACATTGCATACTTGCTTAGGCAGCACATATATTCTAGCTTATTACCTTGCATTTCAACTCCTAAGATAAAGAGTGCACCCAGTTATTGCTAAATATATATACTAAGGCAGGGAAGAATACTATGCTATATATACTGAGAATATTTTCATAAGCAGTTAAAATAAAACTTTTGTTTTTAAAGTGGTAACCTTCATTTACCTTAAAATGAATAAAGTTGCTTATTACTATTAATAAATGCTATAATTGAATTTTAAACAGTAATTTTGATACAATCATAGTACATTAAGACATTACCACTAAGCACTTCATATGAATTATACTAATTAATTTATTGGTTAAACAAATCATGGAAACGTGATACAGGAACACTAGACCATCAGTGATTTGCAGAAGAAAAGCCAATCTCTTCCAAGTATATCCATAGTATCTTACTAATTTAAAAAAACAGGTTACAATGCATAATCCCATTTTATAAACACATGGTTGTGTAAATCTGTTTCAGTACATCGAAAAGTCAACTATCATTGAATTTCAAAAAAAGTGATGGTTATTTATGGATGATACGATTATAAGAAACATGTCTTCATTTAGAAAAATCTATACTCTCTAAATTGGCTATAATAAACATGAGGTTTTTTCCTAATCATAGGTAGGCAGATAGATAGGCATTTTTTTAAAGAATTGACATATCACTAAGTACAAGCAAGCATGCAAGTGTATTTCACCCAGTTGTGCTCCCATTTCTTATATGTGTTTAATTATAAACCTAATATCTAACTAACTCATAGACCTAAAATTCTTAGAGCTGAACATGGGGAATGCAGTTCTTTATTATCAAGTGTTCTATCAGTTTTCTTCACTTATAATCACACTCAACCCAACCTAGACCAGGAAAATTTGGGCAGCAAAAAGGAAGTATTATTTCTATTGAAACTACCTGATGTGAATAGCAAGCATTAGCAGCATGAGCGATGCAGTTTTCCCCCATCATTTAAAGACAAGTATTAGTGATCTTGGTAAAGTCTAAATATCCCAAGCAATGAGATACTTAATTCTAGACATGTACTTAGTTAACTTTTCTATTTTATTCACCTATGTATAATCTTTTTAAAAATCCCACATAAATCATACAACTTACTCCCTTGGCTTTGTGCTCATGAGAACTCTTAGAGGCTTTCTGCTGTTTAAGCATGATTTCAGGAAGCAATCCACTTCATTGAAAGGTCTCATAAAAACTAGGTCACCATTAATAGCAAAGATCTTTTTCCCAACTTCCATGCCAGCCATCTAAGAGAGAAATAGAAAGAAAAAAAATCAAATTATATTTTAATAAGGAATCTATTTTTTTCACAGAATTAGAAGCTGAAAAGACCTAGAACTTACAGATTTTTGACATTTCAACACATTTGCAATGTTTTTTATGCAATTTCACACAACAGAACTGTGGGGGAGATAACACAGTTATTCTCTTTGACCTAGTTTTAAATTTGATCACCCATTTGCACTGAAATTCCCGCCGCTTCTTTTATGACTTAATTTTGTTTTCCTCCTGTGACCCTCTTTCTATTGTATCTTCCAGTTCTTCTTCTTATTTCATCCTTTAAACTACAGTCAAACCCCAGGTTAAATTTTTTTTTTTTTACTGTGTTTTCCATTTATATCCAATTAAGTCAGAGAGGTTCCACCTCTATACAGCCATCAATGACAACCGAATAAGCATCGCTAACATGACACAGCATAAATATCTCCAGGGCAGGAGAGAGGAATGGCCTGGAACCCAAGGAAAAGAGCTCCAAAAAGCACAGATTGCCAGAGGCTGGAAAGATGACAAAGAAGACATTATCTCTCCATGCCAACCAGGCTGCCATTCTTAACCAATCCCATTGCCTCCGAACTACATGCTGTTTTGGTTACCAGAGAAATGATGAAGACCCGGGGAAGGGCACTTACTCAGTGGCATAGTTAGATGAAGCTGTGCTCTAAGAACACCCACAGAAAATGTCTGGGAGAAACATTTCCTTCTGGCAGAAAATTACTAAAAACAGTCATTTGTTGGCCCAGCCCACTAACAAAGTATGAGTTGACCAGAGTTATTTCGTTTGAAATTAATGTGCTGTACCTAAAACACTGTCTTGCATGAATTTGTGTTTTGGTAAAAGATGGAGACCTTGGACATTAGCCAATACGAGGGTGGATGGAAGTATGCTACTAACTTTAAGCCAGGTTCAAAGTTAAAAGTCATGCTTCATTCATTCTCACATTCTTTATTTAAGAATATGAGAATTCTTTATTTATTTATATATTTAGAAGTTTGCTTGAGGATTAAGGTATTTTTACAAGCCAGGCCGCAAGGTGAGAATACTTTAAATCTGACATATTTGGGATATAACACTCCCAGTAGGTTCCATGAGAGCAGGAGATTTTGTCTCTTTTATTCATTGCTATATTCCCAGAGCCTGGAACAGTTCCTGGCATATAATAGGTACTAAATAAATAATCCTGAATGAATGATCAGGAGATTCCTTTGATTAAAGGCTGCAGAGGTGAGAGAACATCAAATAGCATTAACCTAATGAGAAAATAAGTCAAAGCACATGCTTTACTAATGAAAGTTATATTTTTATAAGACAGCCAAAAGTGATAGGAAAATAAAAGATGTAGCCCTAGATTAATGGAACAGGTATCTGACATACATAATACAGTCCCACTGTATGCAGTCTCCCCAGGGTTCCAGGCTAGAATTTTGAACAGGAAAGTGCCAGGGACATGGAATGAGCCATGTGATCTCCCAAGGTCACGAAGTTCACAGTTACGGATCTCCAAATATCTGAGTACATGAACTCTGTCACAAATCCCAATCGTATCTGGTAGAAACTCAGAATAAGATTATTCAGAAACACTATTTTCAATAAAGATACTTAAAAGCTGATTTCAATTTGTTTAGAACTTTTATATTTGTATGTCATGGACAACAAATTTAAATAAAAATGCTAATTTACATTACCTCAGCATTAGACCCCTTTTCTACCAACTTTATTATTGGAACTTTATTTTTGTCTTCTAACCCAAAACCATAGCTGCCTTCATTGGATTTAATCTGAAATGCAAAATATTAACATTATTAATAAAGGGACTATGAAAAAAGGTACAAACAGAATAAATGAAGAAAATTTATATAACATATTGATAAACTTACCAATAATGATTTGGCTATAACATTTTCCACAACTTTTAAATCATGTTTCATAAGTCGATGCTTCATATTTGATCCTTCCATTTCCTCATCCGCAAAAAAACGGAAAAGTAGGGGTTCATCTCTGAATTCACTTTTTTCAAGGACTACAAAAACAGAGATTCAAATTGTTCCAATTAATCCAAAAATTGGACCCATTTTTCATACTAATAGACATTCAGTAAACTAATACCTGTCCCATAACCTCAATGTAATACTCTTAGAAGAAATTTCATTCACAAATATTCCTATGATATTATTCTATTTCTTTCGACAGCTTCAAGCCGATGTCTCCTTTAAATTACTATTAACTAAAGAGTTTAGAATTTTTAAGTATTTTTTCAGTGTTAACCTTTTTTTAAAATTATTTATTTATTTGACAGAGAGAGAGCGAGAGCAGGAACACAAGCAGGGGGAGTGGGAGAGGGAGATGCAGGCTTCCTGCTGAGCAGGGAGCCCGATGCGGGGCTCAATCCCAGGACCCTGGGATCATGACCTGAGCCGAAGGCAGACGCTTAACGACTGAGCCACTCAGGTGCCCCAAATGTTAACTTTTTTGTACTCACCCAAATTTAATAAAAGATTATATTGAATCAAAAAATGTATGCAATTCAAAACATAGAAACCTACATTGTTTTGAATTTGTAGTAAACATTTGAAGTGTGTTTTTAATATCCTGAACAATTATGGGAAAATTCAAATGGGTAAGTGTTGCTCTTATGTGTGTGAGCAATTCCCACAGTGGTCACTTTTGTTCCAACACTTCAAACCAGAAATAAATCTTCTGGGTGAAATGTGATTTTAGTTTCCACTAATTCCTAGTTCTTTTCTGTTTAAAAACATTGTTCTCAAATAATCTTATTTCAATAAAGGTTCATTTTTTCCCTTTTATCTGAACGTTAGTATTTTCCCCCAAAGTCCCTAAGATTAACCTTTCAAAAATAAGGCTAAATACTGATAGACAGAATTTATATTCAGTGAGATCCTGACAGCTGTCAAAATGTTTTAAAAGAGAAATCTTCTCTATTTCTATTTATGTATCCTTGGTTGAAGCGTACTTGTTGGAACAGGGTGATTCATTGAGCAGGGTAGCTAAAGGGAAGACACTGGTCCCATGGCACTGTACAAGGTCTGGCTTTATGATGAAGCACACCTCCAGGTCTGGGATTGATTCTGGGTGTGACTTTGGGAAAGTTACTTCAACTCTTTGAACTGTAGTTTCCGCATCGGTAAAATGGGGGGAATAAAACCTTCTTCATAACGTACAGAACTAAAAATGAGGTAATAAGTATGATTAACCTGGCATACAGAAAGCGATACAAAACTATTTTATCTCATTATTTTTACAGAGTTCCAAGTAATAACTGTTGACCGGATGATATATGTATTGATCTTTGGATGGAAGACTGGCCGGCAACTTGGGTTAACAAATGAAACTATCAAGCACAAATTAAAAAGTAACACCTTACAGTTGACAATAGAAATGAGAATATACTTCAGATTAAGTTAGATCTTGCCTACATGACCCAAGCACTTCCCCCAAACACACATGGTGTTTTGCTACTGCTATTTTCCTCCACAAAATAGTCTGCCTAACAGGAGTGAGAACGGACATCAATAAGGCAGGCAACAGCCAAATTGGTTGTGCTTTACTGACATAGACTTTTGTAGGGAAAACTTCTGTTGTTAACTCAGTATTTTATTTTTTTGTTAGTTAATTAATTAATTAATTGTATTTGTTTTTTTATAGAGAGAGAGAGCATGCGCACATGCCTACGAGCATGGGAGAGGGGCAGACAGAGAGGGAGAACGTCAAGCAGGCTCCACATCGAGCACAAGCCCAATGCAGGATTGATTTCATGATCCTGAGATCATGACTTGAACCAAAATCAAGAGTCGGACGCTTAACCGACTGAGCCACCCAGGTGCCCCTAACTCAATATTTTAAAATAAATATTTAGATAAAATGACTGCTTGTTGATGCTTTAAAAAGAAAAACAAAATATTTGAAGGATTTCACCCTGATATTATAGTTTTAATTCCCTATAATAATATCATTTCTCCCATTCAATAGTTTTTCAACAAGGACTAATATTTCTCTATCACATCTCATACAGTGCTCTAGAGATAGTAGGATGTAATGGAATTCCCAAATGAATGTATGCTAACCAATGATACTCTCAACATCACTGAAAGTTTTGCTATACTTCCTTCTTCATAGAAAGGTAATAACCTTGGGGTGCTTGAGTGGCTCTGTTGGTTGAGCAATCGACTCTTGGTTTCGGCTCAGGTCATGATCTCAGGGTCATGAGGGGACATGAGGGGACTCCTCAGAGGGGAGTCTGCTTGAGATTCTCTTTCTCCCTCTCCCTCTGCCCCAGTCTCTCTCTATATAAAATAAAATCTTTTTTAAAAAAAGGTAATAACCTTCTGAAAGTAATTGACAAATAGGTAGAAGTGTTATCAAATATGTGTTTATAAGCATATATATATGTTATATATACGTAAACAGTGAAAAAGACTGGGTTTGTGGAATATATAAGATGCTATGAATAGAGAGGGAAAACTAAGTCTCATTATTTTTATAAATTTAGGCATAATGAAGCCATCAAACAAGAAAAATAATTAGTAGCCAAAATGAAACAGATTTTTTCCAGAGATTTATAATTTTATCTCTGAGATAATTTTAAAAGCATTTTTCTTAAAAAAAAAAATGATTACCAACCCTATATGCTCTCATTTAATCATTTTAATATATACTGGCATTAAAAAAAACCATGAGTCTAATCTAAAATAATTTCAATTTTTTTTAAAAGCTACTTAAAAAAAAAAAAAAACACCTTCTAGTTCAAGCTTTTGCTCTTCTGGAGTCAGTCTAGAAAAAGAGAAGAGAAGTCATGGCAACTGGTAGATAAAAGCAACTAGACATAGGAATGGCACCAGAGGTGAAATTGAATGCAGATGTGACCCAGCATGGACACATGGCAAGACCCATACGGGCTTGCTGGTTCATCTCTAAATGACTTCACTAAAACAACGAGGTACTCCCAGCGCCCTAACAAAAACAAAACAGTAAAATACATCTGTGAGCTTCCAGAATAAAAATCCCTACCATGGTGCATAAATCCATTGTCACAGAGTCCGACACCAAATATCATTGCCTCTTCTCTGGTGCGGCAATCCCCCTGTTAACCACAAAAACATGGCACAACTTAACAGGCAACTAAAGGCTTTGTTGTATCTTTACTGCATTTGACGTTCCCAGCACCATATGACAAAAACATTCATTTCTTAGGGCACACACTGCTTTCATAAGCTCATGATGCACCTAATTGCTATAAAACATTCACTTGATTATAAAAACATCTTTTTTTTGACATTAAGTGAAAAACAAAGATATAATATTCCTGAGTAAAATCATACTGTATTAAACATGAAAATATATAACTAAAATTTATTGCTACCACAAATGATCCCTTTCTCTTATTTTTTCAATATTGTATCCCAACTGTGCAGCAAGAAAATATCCTATATATTGAAAACACACTAAAGTTAATGAAAAATCATTATGCATGATCTCTGCTATCATATTTCTTCTACCAAATGGCCTTGTTCTTTAAGGACCCCTAAAGAAACCTACTAACTTAGGGTGATTTATAAGACCCTAAAAATAAATTGTTCAGCTGAGCGTGTAAATGCAAGCTTCTCTTTCACTATCTTGCAGAAAAAATAATCACATCATGTAACTGAAGCAAAAATGAAAGCCCAATGCAATCTTCTGTTATGTTTTTATCTAGAAAACTTCTATTTTATTCATGTAAGTATGGATTCATATATAGAAATAGACATATGTACATATGTGTATGTGTGTGTATAAACTTAACAGTTGTAGATTTTGTGGTTAAGAAGTGCTTTCTCATTTTATTTCTTCCTAGTCAGGTTACTGTTGCCTGAACTCTGTGCTTATTTTCATCCTTGCTTTCACTCAAAATCATTCATACCTACAATGCATGTTTTGCATGTTTTGTCCACTCATTTGTTTTAAAGTATCTGTTGTTAGTCCTAGCAAGTTATTCTAATATCCCTGTGCCTTTTTCTCTGTTAGATAATAATTCCAGTAAGTAATAAACAGTTGTGAAAGTAAAATCTGGAGAGATGAAGGGCCTTGTCCAACTTTGCATAACTACTTATCAGAAGAACCATCATCAGAGGCTAGGTTACCTGAGTCCCAGTCCATCACCCCAATTTCTACTACATACAATTTCTAAGACATTGTTGTAACAGATCACTAAGAAAACCTGAAGAAAAAAAATAATTGCAACGTGGTCCAGTTTTGGGGTAGCTTATTTATTCTTCTAATGCTCACATTTGAAAAGTAAAACAATGCCAAAAAGGAAAAAAGAAAAGAAAGCTGCTCACTGATTTCCTGAGTCAGGACTTTAAATATTTATTAGGCACCAACTTTTGCTTCAAAAAAACTTCCTTCAGTTTTCTCACATAGTCAACATATGGTACAAGTTCATGTGAATTCTATAAGATTATAATTTCTATGTGAAATGCCAACTCTGATATCAAGTACAGAACCAATTCTAATGACACATATTTGACCATAATATTATAAAAGGCTCTGACTCTAGTAAACCCACTGCATGTATGAATTAAGTTTTTTTATCTAAAAATAATTGCTTGGTTTAATCTAAAATCTTAACTTCCAAATAGAATACATTTAAGTGCTATAAATACAAAAGTAAGCAGTCTTTAATAGTCTAGAAATTAATATTAAATAATAAAAATCTCAAAATTTATGTGCACAGATGAATCAAATATGAATTAAACATTAATATTTGAAACAAAGAACATTTTATGATTATCAAATGTTATTCACATGTAACAAAGAGTAGGCCACTTTCTTTAATAACAAAAAAGTAAAACTGCTTATGAAATTGACTCAAATATCTAAGCATGACAACATTTCAACCAACCAATATCCCCTAACAAAATAGTAAGTTCTGTCAAAGTTGTTTTTTAATCAATGTTAAACATTTGATCATATATTAGTTGACCTAGTATGATAAAACATTTAAATTTATATTTGAATATCTAGTATGTTGGGGTAGATGCCCTAATTTGCAAATAACATTTTCTCGATACCTGCTGTCAACTCCCACGTTCTGAGAAACAGAGCAACAATAACAATAAATTTCGTAGTTCCCTATTTAAAATGTATGTAGATAAATATTAAAGCTTATATGTCAAAGCACAATTATCTAACAGAAAGGCACAGGGAGATTAGATAACTTGCTAGGACTAGGAAACATATCCTAAGACGAATTAGTGAACAAAACATGCAAGAAATTTTAGTGTATGTGAATATGTATTCTTCAGTGATATTCAAATTACACTTAGGTTTTGGTTTGTTGTTTTTGTTTTTGTTTTTAAAGTAGGCTCCATGCTGGGCATGGGGCCAGCTTGAACTCACGATTCAGAGATCAAGACGTGAGCTGAGATCAAGAGTCAGACGCTTAACTGACTGAGACACCCAGGTGCCCCTACACTTAGTTTTTTTGATGGATCTCAGTTGATACTTTAAAAATAGGAACATCTTCCTTTTGAAAAACCACATAGCATAAAAATTAAGTTTGAAGACTGTTAAGTCAGATTACCTGGATTCAAATTCTAACTCTGTATTAGCTGTATGAACTTGGTCAAGCTATTTCACAGTGTCTCATCTGCACATGGTGACAAAAAAAGGCACCTAAATCCCCTCAAAGCTTAAAGCAGCAGTGAATTAACTCAGCAACTTCTATTTGTCTATTTACCTGTGCAATTAACCAGTCTATCAGTTTGTTGGCCATGACTACAGATTTGTAGGTTCTTAAATGGTAATCTTTATCTCTATAAAGGAAAAAGAAACCAAAACCAGTAAGAAGAGGGTAAGTAAGCACAGGAAAACATTTCATTTAATATCAGTGTGCAACAGAAAAGTTTACTAAATATAATCTGAATCTATTATCCAAGTTATGTGCAAATAACAGAGGTTTATAAGGTATACATAGCACTGGAAAACTCCTTCATCAGCTCATATCGGAAGAGACCAACAACGATACCAAAACAAGACATTTCTCCTTTGATATGTTCTTATACACAAGTAGATTATTACTGCTATATTATCCGGTAAAAACTTAGCTAGAAATACAATATCTCATCAATAAAAGAATAACACAATGGAATTTCTTCCCTTAAAATCTGGATAGAGTCTACAAAAAAAAAAAAAGAAAGAAAACTCATCAAAATGTGGAGAATAAAGCAACCCCTTTTATTCCCAAATTCTCCAGGAAGGCTGGATTTGGTTCAGCTGTAGTGGCAGACAGCAGGCCCGTCCCAAGGTAAACATGCTGAGAACCCTGTCATTCATCTTGTCTGATCAGGGCATGGACAACTGACACCAGATCCCAAGGGAACCAAAGGAACCAGCTGATTCTACATTAGCCTCTCCTTTCAGTAGACTTCCCAGATCTGAGAAGTCAAAGTTAAGTTAGATACCAACAAGTACTCCTGATCAGAATGGGGTCCCCAGGGCAGAAATCTATAATTCATTCATTTTGCAGGCCCAGATCAAAGAGAAAATGACAGTCTTTTCAAAATGTCAAAAGATCCGAACCGCAAACAACTTGAAATGATAAATAATTACTAGCTCTATTCACAGTTCTTTAGCCCCTGTCACCAACTGACGATACGGACATCATTTTATCCACTTTCATAAAAAAAAGTCCCTGAAAAATGGTTGATATTTCTAAGATTTTTGTAATAAATACACCAGGTTAGCCAGTAATCAATAGCAGATTCCTTTTTAAAAAAATCTTTAGGGGCGCCTGGGTGGCTCAGTCGTTAGGTGTCTGCCTTTGGCTCGGGTCATGATCCCAGTGTCCTGGGATCGAGCCCCTCGTCGGCTCCCTGCTTGCGGGAAGCCTGCTTCTCCCTCTCCCACTCCCCCTGCTTGTGTTCCCTCTCTCACTGTGTCTCTCTCTGTCAAATAAATAAATAAAATCTTTAAAAAAAAAAAAATCTTTAAAAATAAATAAATTAATTAAATAAAATAAAATCTTTTTAAATCTATCTCCATGCTTCTGATACCTCACTGCCCATTTCATCTTGGTTTCCATAAGCATCACTAAGAAGGAAAAGGATAGTCAGCCTATTATAAAACACATGTGGGTCGGTGAATTCTTCACCCAGATAATTTTTCTTTTTGTAAGCTGAGTTCACACATATTAAAAGCATGACTATCATACATTCCATCTGTTTTATGGTTTTTTCCCATAAATTTTTCCTTGACAACTCATAAACAATTGTCATTTCTAGCCAAAGAACAATTCCTTCTTATCAGCTCTTATGGAATGTAACTTTCTTGGTAAGAAATCCCATATGGCTAAAATATATTTTCAGAGCATATTTTCTCACATATGAAATCTACATATACACAGGTAACCTGAAAACTGTAACCATTACTGTTTTTATGAGGTTAGCAGAAAAGATAAATTTAAGTACCCACTTGCTATTGATTGAAGTAACCATCTTTTAGTGTTAGATTATCCAAAATATTTGCAGGGTGGCTGTGCTAGAAATCTAGTAGGGAATCAATAAATATAGGTTCATTTTCACTTCTTTTTACTTTAGGAAGCCTGTTTGTGACAGGGCACTTTCAGGAGTGATTGGGTAAATTTTGTTTCTTCCTCCAGGATCTGCACTGTGTTCTCTATAAAACATCAGTGAGCTTTCCAATACACTTAAACAGCCACTTCTGGATTTTTTTTTTCTTGAGTTCTGAGTTTCCTTGAAATTGGAAACCAGAATGAAAAACAGAAACACAGCACATCAAACATTTAGATTCTATAGCCATGACGGAAAAGCATCTTTATTCATCTTGGAAATGGTACATCCATTTTTTTTTGTCCTGAATATTAAATTTCAGTCAATATGAATGATATCTGGCCATTTGAAATTAGTGTAACATCATACTACATTCTATCAGTGTATATCAGTGTATATTTTATAAAAATACAGTAATACTCCTGAACGTCTCTTCTATTAGTAATCATAACATAAAACTCAGTTTTCTGCTGTCTTTCTAGAGAGAGAAACTGAAAATTAATTATGACTCCACTTCAAAAACAAGGGCATATCTCTTCAGAAGGAAAAAATTGGTAGAGAATAAAATTATAAAATTTACTTATTAACTCCAAAGTAATTCTTAATTTTCAAGTACAAAATCTTTCCTTTGGATGAAAGACTATTAGGAGGAAATATTGTGAAAATACACATCCAAGAATTGATTATACAATTTAGTGGAAAAAAAATCAATATAAAGTAATCATAGTGGTATTTATAGTAAATAGTATTTCCAAATCCTCTCCCAGTCAACTATTATTTACTAAATATTAACTGATTGTGGATTATTTCATTATCAAGTCTATAATTTAGTATGGATTAATGACAAATAATTTTAGAAATCAGAATAAAAAGAGTGGAAAAAACTGCATAATTAGAGCCCCAGAAAATTTAGAAATATTTTCAGATCAATTACTACTTAAAATCATCTTTAAAAGTAAAATTTTCACTTATGGAAGAAAAATAAAATAAACCAAGAGGTTCCAGCTGAATAATACTTACCTAATATGCAATATAAATATTTTCACGTAAATTGCCCAGAACTTAGAAACCAGACTCACCTTATCACTGGAGTAAACAGACTATGAAGACGGCAATATAATCTCACTCCCTATTATAAAATAAAGATATGTCAAAAACAAGGAAGATCACTCAAAGGACAGACCAATGAAATTTTGAGACATATCCACTGTCAACATTCCGGAATCATTATATAATCTCTACCAATTTAAAAGTTATTAACTGTTGTATTACATCAGAAAAATAATATAACTTAAATAATTAAAAACAGGATTAAATTGTACTATGAATTTGTCATATACATATGACATATACAAAGGGTTTTTAAAATTATTTTTCTTAAAATGTAAAATTTCAAAGTATTAGCAGAAAATAATTCTATGCAGCAATACCTCACACTACACGTACATTATATATCAATATAAATCTTGGTGTGCAAAGAAAACTGACGTTACATAAATTTTATATATGTATATATTTTTTAAACTTATTCAAGTATAATGGCCACTTGTTGCTACATGTGACATACTTTTCAGTGGATATAATCTGAGTGTGCAATTTCATTAGTTCCATTTAGAACTACGTAAGAGTATGAAAAAAATGATCTAACCCTAGAATTCTTTAAATAGCAAGAAGAAATTGAGAGGCTTGCTTACGAATGCCATTTTCTATACTAGAAGAATTTTTTTAAGTCTCTTAACAGCATTTTATCTTGGTGAAGTATGACAACATGAATTCTGCTATTGATAAAAGGTTCTGGGAGAGGTTGTTACCTTTGAAATCACATCCTGCATCTCATTTCTTGGATAAAATGTTCCATCATCATAGCGAAATCTATATAACATCTGTTCTGGCTTGAACTGATGTTTATCAGTAACTAAGAACATAGAAACAATATATTAAAATACTGACAATCTAAAAAGTGGAAAACAAAAACAAATAAATTTATAAAATACATATTCTTACATACTAAAATTTGTAGTTTTACCAAAAACTTTTGTTTCCCTAATGCAGTAATACTAATCCAGTATTCTGACAGTAAGATTTTGTTATATAATGCATTTACAATTTCCATATAACGATTTAAGAAATAAATTGAGATCAGCAATACTGTTAGCATAGTATGAGGGTATGTACAATGTATTATTTTATTTATATAAATATACAAAGTTGTGTTTTCTATTTCTTCACAGTGCCACAAAGTCGAGCAAAAAGTGTCCTTCAAAGAGCAGATAATCTAACTAGTGAATTATAATTCAATTCTCAGTTCTAGAAGTGAATTTTAGTATTTATCTGTTTTATCCCACAGCAATCAGGCCAAGACCACACATACACCAATCTTGACCATTTATTCTGTGTTTATTTTTTTAAAATGTTTTATTTATTTATTTGACAGAGAGAGACACAGTGAGAACAGGAACACAAGCAGGGGGAGTGGGATATGGAGAAGCAGGCTTCCTGCCGAGCAGGGAGCCCGATGCGGGGCTCGATCCCAGAACCCTGGGATCATGACCTGAGTGAAAAGCAGACGCTTAACGACTGAGCCACCCAGGCGCCCCTATTCTGTGTTTAGATTTCTGGAGTAGATTATATAATTTCAATATGTAAATTCTTTCAAAATGTCAATAGTTTTCTGAAACTGAGAAATGCTTTTCTTACATGTCACTTAATATTTTTGCCCTCAGTGGCAATGAGAATGGTCATCCTCCACTTTCATCCTTGAGGTAAGAGTTTCATATTCATAAAGACTCCTATTTAACTTCCTCTCAAGTTTTCTTTTTTTCCAGGAAAAGTATGTTATAGTCAGTCTAACAAAAAAATGATTGTGGAGGGAAAAAAAAAAAAACAAATTAAACCTCGAAGAGTTTATATTTAAATGTTTTCTTTACAGGGAATGCAACATTTGCAGAAAAAGATAATTTACCACAATGGGCTCTGTTTTCATGATTAGCTAGAAGACTTTGACCTTTTTGTTTAAAATGTTGAAGGGGGATAAAAAGTTGTCAGAATTGATTTTGATGAACTACATTTGGTGAGGGGCGCCCAGGTGGCTCAGTAGCTTAAGGGTCTGCCTTCGGCTCAGGTCAGGATCTCAGGGTCCTGGGATCGAGCCCCAAGTCCGAGTCCGAGTCTGAGTCTGGCTCCCTGCTCAGCAGGGGGTCTGCTTCTCCCTCTGCCCCTCCCCCCTAGTCATGTTCTCACTCTCTCACTCGTGCGCTCTCTCTCTCTCTCATAAATAAAATCTTAAAAAAAAAATGAACTACATTTGCTGAATCCAGAAGAAAGCCAAAAGACTTATCACACATACATACACGTATGTGAAGTTTCAGCTATTTTACCCCAACCTACCCAAACCACGTGCATGGCTTGCAGCCATCAGATCGACACAGGACTGTTGCCAAAGAAAGATAGACAACACCGCCTTTTGGCATCTTTTTATTTCCAGATCAAGCCAAAAAAGAAAAAAGCATGTGTGAAAGAAAAATAATATCAAGAGAAATATTTTGCAATCCTATGGCATGTTTCAAGACCAGTTATTTATTTCTTCTCTGCAATCTACCTATTCTAATTTTTTTTTTTTTGAAAAACAGTAATTGTTTAATAATATCAACTATTATAGACAGCATTCAGATTTCACCAGTTAGGTCATTTTTAAAAAAAACTGTTCATTCAAATCACAATTCCAGATAAGGTCCTTTGTACTACCGTTTTTTTTTTTTTAAATTATTATTAACACATAATGTACTATTTGTTTCAGGGGTACAGGTCTGTGATTCATCAGTCTTACACAATACCTATTCTAATTTTTATCCCCTAAGATTCACTGAAATAAATTCTTGTCTTGATATTTCAAAATTCAAGGAAACGTTGGGCCCAAATGCTCTTGCCATAAGAACACAAATGGTGATTTAAAATTCCTATCAAAATGGAGTGCTTAGTTGTATGGCAAACTCTTACAGGACTTTGATAATTCATCTTGGGTTAATCTGCAACTCTTAGCTGTTGCCTTGGAAAAACAGTCAATCGTTCTGCATGCAAATGCACTTCCCCAACTTCTTGAACATGAAAAATGGGTTTATTAACCGTTGAGAGTGCGGGTCATGTGAGAAAGGTTGCTTAACATTGTCTTCTAAACAACTATGCAATATTGAGATATTACTAGGGTACAGCTGGCTTTCTAGGTGGTGGGGAAGGAGTGCTGATCTGTAGTATTCACCAATTTCTGTGGTATTAAATATTCCCACACTGGCCAATTTCAAGCTACTAAAATAAAGTCACTGAACACCGAGTTAGACGAGCAGTGATACATTATTATTTAGTATTTCCATACAGAAATAATAGATATAAATAACACTAAGAACACAGACAACAATAAAATAGAGTAAAATAATTAGGAAGTGATGAGTTTTAATAATATATGAACTTTGTTTATAGTACAATTTATGTACTATCTGTCATATAATTTTTAATAATAGCTGTGCCTTACAACCAGCTTGCAAATTTCCAAGAAATTTATTTATTTATTTATTTATTTATTTTTTAAAGATTTTATTTATTTATCCATTTGAGAGAGAGAATGAGAGAGAGAGAGAGCATGAGACGGGGGAGGGTCAGAGGGAGAAGCAGACTCCCCGCTCAGCAGGGAGCCCGACGTGGGACTCGATCCCGGGACTCCAGGATCATGACCTGAGCCAAAGGCAGCCGCCCAACCAACTGAGCCACCCAGGCGCCCCTCCAAGAAATTTAATTACCAGCTCTCTTAAGTTTGTATAAGCCAACTTCAGCACAATACTGGGGTGAATGTGGTCTCTGAATTGCATAAGCATTTATAATGTAAATAGTAGACCCAGACAAGAAAATCTATCAGCATATCATACCGAAAGCATATGCTGTTTCAACCCAATAATTCCTGATATAGCAAGGCTTTTCTTTTATGAAGTTCTCAACAATATCTGCAATGTGAATAGTGGCAATAATAGTCAAACTCTTTAAGCTTTCTCTCTTTAAAACAGATGGTTCATTCAACTTTATTTTAGGAATTCTATTTTCACTAAATGCAGCTGGAAACACATACCAATAAAACTAGCATGTTTGGCTCATATTTCTACATTCTATAACATTATTAATGTACAATTGCATAATATGTTCTCTTACTCCCAATTCAGGGGAATGTGTACTAGTTAATTTTGGACACTTAAAAAAGTGATTACTTTTAGCAACAAAAATTCTGTATGCCAAATCTGAAATTACAACTGATCAAATCCTGATAAAAATAATAGTATAGGCCACTAAAATCAAACTGTGACAAATAGAACGATATTAATAGAGAGTACTCAGTGCTTTATTTTTCAGAAAAAGAGTTAATCAGGTTATAAATATCATTGTTCAAAAAGATTTATTATAAGTTAAGTAATCAAAGGGTTTTTGCATTTGAAATTTCAAAATAAATTTTAATCCAGAATTTATCTCTTACTTCCTGTTCAAAATTGTATTGGAGAAAAGTGGTGTCTGAAGTTGGAGGATAAGCTGATTAGGACTGAAATTCTACCATTCTGGTATCACTTACCAAAATAATCTTACATGTTTTTTTTCTCTTTAAAGGGAGGCAATTAAAAAATATTGTGAGAAATATCTTAACAGAATAAATAAGAGTGGTTCTCTCTCTATGGAACTCTGTGATTCCTTCAAGAGCTTTCAGCAGTTATGAACTGAAGAATAGGTCAGATTCTAAAAGACTATTCATGAAGATATTTAACAAATATTATTCCAACTCTACTTTGTACTAACTTACAATTGACTTGAAAATGTTTGCCTAGCTATTCACGATTTCAGGCAAAGTAGTAACAGTTTTGTCATTGTAAAGTCAGTAAAATCCCACCCATAATAGTTATGCCTTCAGTTTTCAGAACCCAATGCACAATGCAAATAAGTAACTAGTTCTCATACAATTCCTAGGTCACCTTTGATGAAACAGGAAAGCAAGAGTGGAAGGGCGGCTTGAAAATATCCTAAAAGCCCCTTTAAAGGACATCCTCTCCCCCACACCCTGACTCTTTCCAGCTCTGGGAATAAAATTTCTGTAATTACCTTTTATCTATTACAAGGTACCTCAAAGTCAAAAAGGAAAATATTATGACAAACTTAGTGTGTTGCTCTTTCTAAATACAGTAAGCGATCCCATACAAGGACAAAAAGTTACATTTTTTAAATAATCTTTTAAATAATTTAAATAGCATCAATTGTTGACAGCTTTAAGATTTTCTTCTCCTATTTCTAATTCATAATGTTTTGAAATCACTCAAATTAACAACAGAAGTTACAAAAACCTCCACTGAAATAGAAATGTTACAAGTTATTTTTATGACTAGTATATGCTGATATTACTGTAAAACATTGACAGGTTTATATAATGATTACTCTGGCTTTAATATAGTTCCATAGATTTTATATTGACCTGGGAGCTATGCCTCAGTGGCAGACACTGGGTCGTTGTTTACCAAATTGGGTTAGCTTTAGTTTCCCCTGGGCATGCATCTACACTACATTTCTAAGTTTCTCCTGCAGTAAGGAGTGGCCATGGAACTGAGCTGCATTTAAGGACATACACACAAAAGTAAGGCACAACGGGGAGTGTACAAGCCCATTTAAAACAAACAAACCAAGAACTCCACCACTCCTTCAAGATGACCTTTAAGAGTCCTGCAGTGAAGATGGATGAGCCTCTATCAGGCACCAAAACCCTGTGTGGGGGAGAGCACCCAACCCCATCCTCCACCAGTGACTGGACTTTACCTGAGCAAAAAAGTAGCTTCTAGGAATATAAGCCGCTGTACTGAGGTTTATATCTGTTACAGCAGCTAGTGTTAACTAAAACAGTTTTCCCTGCAAAAAGTTAATTCTCCCATCCTTGTAGAGTTCTACCTTTCTGAAAGGAAATATGTCAACAGCTGGATTGCTTGATGAACAAGGTAAAAAGATGGTCTTAAAACTACGAGACCATAAGAAACAAAGGCCATTAGTTCATGTTTACATACCTTCAAGTATCTAGCATGATATCTTACACACAGAATGAAGGAAAGAGTCAGTAAGGAAAAGAATAAACAAAAGTGTTCATAAACAGATTTTCCCTCCTTTGCTCTATTGGTAAGACATAGTCCCTGGAAGTACATAGTCTAAATGAGAAAGGAATCATCTGATTTCTGAAGGTCTATGACTGTATGCAAATCCTCTCTATAGTCTACCTATTTGAGCTTCAGTAGACTGCAGGACAAAGCAAATATATTCCCTTCTTGACCCAAGTATATACTTGGACTCGGGGTTAGAGGAAAGGAAAGAGAAGCAGCAAAGAGGAAAGCCATCTAGCCCAACATCTTTTCATATTTACTTATAAGTTTCTGAGTGATGCTTTTTAGCATACTAGGTGCTACATGGTGTTTTCACGGTGCTAAAGAATCAAGTACAAAATCATATACAATTTATCAGTATTATCTATTTACTCACAATATAATTATTCATTTATTCATTCACTGAGCAAATATTTATTGAGTACCTACATTTGAGGGGCACGGGAGGTCTTTACTATATATTAACAAACAAGGCTCCTGTTCTTATAGTACTTCTATTTTGATTGGGGGCCAGAATCGGCATGGATCAAGAGAGAAATAATAAATAAACAAATAAAATAACATAATAATTTTAGAGAGTGATAAGTTCATGAAGAAAATTTTAAAAATTAAAAACAGTTTACTGTAATAATGGGATGAGATTCTACAAGAGTGTCACTGAAGACATGAGTCATGAATACTGCGACTTTTGTCATTTCATTCACTGCTATCCCTCCAGCACCTAGAAAGGTCCCTGGTATATATTAGGAATTAATAAGTAATAGTTGAATGAGAACAGCAAGAGCAAAGATCCTAAATGCACAGTCATCCTGGAGTGTGTAAGGAAGAGACAGAAAGCCACAAGGGCCACAGTGTAATGAGTTAGGTATAACACAATGTGCCAACTCACAGAGGAAGTCAGGGGCCCAATCATGTGGGGCCTTGTGGGCCATGGTAAGAGATCTGGACTGTGGTAAGTGGTTCCAGACTCTTCTTTGAGTTTAATGGGATGCTAGTAGATGATTATAAGCAGGAGAATACCTTGATCTTACATTTGTTTTAAAAGGTCGCCAGCTGTTACCTGGAGGCCATATCATAGAAACGGAGGACAAAAGTGGGAGCAAGGAAGGAGAAGATGGTGACTGGGAAGAAGGCGGGGATCCTGGAAGTGAGAGAAGTGATCTGATTAGGGATCTATTTTGGTGGTAGAATTCATAGGGCACCCAGTATGGTGGGGAAAAACTGGGAGGATCTAGTTCATTTTCATCCCACTCTAATTAAAAAAAAAAAAAAGAAAAAAAGAACACTGAAATACCTTAGTCAAATACCTGTGTTTATTCATAATTCCCTCTTTTTCTCCTCTCCCACATTTTGCATTAGAAATTCTTCAAGTTTTACTTCTTAGTCCCATTATCACTACTTTCTTCTTTCTTTGTTGTTGATGTTCTCAGGAATCTGGTGCTCTCTTGAAATGATTACCGAATTTGTCTCTGGATCTCTCTATACTCTGAGCTTTACACATACATTTTCAACCTCTTGCTGAGCACTCCCCTGTGGATGTCTCATACCCAACCTGCCACAAACTCTTCATCTTCTCCCCACCGTGCTCCTTCTCCTGAATAATCATCCCTGTCATCCAGATAGAAACCTCAAAATAACCTGATCCTGCTCTTCACTCATCTCCCACATCCAACAGTTATCAAATATGCTGCTTCAGCTTCACCAAGTCTCCCAGATGGGCCACTGTCATCATGCCCTAGAACATATCCCTCATCCTCCTACTGCAGGGAAAGGCGGGGGCCTCCTGATGGACGGGGCTCCCTGCAGTGAGACCTCCTGATGGACGGGGCTCCCCGCAGTGTCTCCAACATCTCCACTCCACGTTCCACACTGCTGCATCTAAGGGCTCTAAAAGCCAAGTTCTGGCCACTTTTCTGCTTAAAAGTGTCCATCATCTCCTCACCTTCAGAATAAACCCTACATATTACAGCCAGAGAGTTAAGGTCTTATGGGATCAGATGTGCCTACCTTTCTCACCGCACCCTTCCTCCCCAGTATATTCATCCATGAAGTAGACTGTCCTGCCTCGTGAGATTCTGTGCTAGTTCCTGAAGAGGCCACCATGAGCTTTCCCAATTCCATTCTGTAGCATCTATACTCTCCCTCAGGGCGGGACGTCCTTCTGCCCTTCTGTCCCTGTCAGAGTTCTACTCATTCTACAGTGCCTTATATTAAGGCCCTTTCCCTCATAAAGCAGTCCCAAATACTCCAATTAGAACTTGCCATTCCTTCCTCCCAATCCCATAGTGACCTGTATTTCTAATTTTTGCCTGTTTTGTAGCCTTCACATTAAAGTTAACAAATATATCACCATAAACCCACACTCTCCAAAACTCCCAGAACTACAGTTCTGTATATGTTAGGCACTTGAAATGTTATTAAAAATACACGAGCATCCTATAATGTAGACATTTACTATAAACTAAATCGATTAATGGAATTAAGATGCCTCCAACTGGTGGACAAAGAGAATAAATTAGTAACTAATAAAATAATTACCATGGTGGATGATCCCATTTTCTAATAATGCTTGTCCTAAGTGTACACCTTCCTCAGGCCTGTGAATCTCTCCAATTTCCAACAGCCATGACACAAATTCACTGCAACAGAAATCCAGTGAAACAGTTAAATAGATCCCCCCACCCCAAGGAAGTCTATTTCTACCATGCTTTCATCAAGCAGCTTTGGAAGGAGTCTCAAAATATAAAGAAATATTTGCAGTGCATTTCAGCATGCATTTTTCACATAAGCAAAGCCCAAAATTATTTAAATTTTATTCTATTCTAGAAAACCCATGTCCATACATTCATGCTTACCTAAACCATATATAATAGCTATTTAACTTACTGAGACCTCTAATAAACACAAAGGGAAAATTTTAGAGTAGTTTTAACTATAAAGAGCATATAATAGATCCTAAAGATAGCTAACAGGCAAAATAGAAAAATAATGACTTAATATAAGAGATAGACTTTCTGGAATATGGCTTTCCAGGCACAGAAAACCAGTGTATTTAAAACTCCAAGAAAGCAAAACACAGAAAACCAGTGTGTTTGAAGTTCCAAGAAGGCAAACCAAAAAAACCCTGCCCCATGTGGCAGATGGAATTCTAAACATGTCCTCTTACCCCCCTATCGAGAATCCCATCCCTTGGTTTTGTAATCAAATCCTAATCTAGGTAGTGCTATGAATGGATTTAAATATATATTTATTTATTTATTTGACAGAGAGAGAACAGCAGAGGGAGAGGGAGAAACAGGCTCTCCACTGAGCAGAGAGCCCGACGTGGGGCTCAATCCCAGGACTCTGGGATCATGACCTGAGCCGAAGGCAGACACCTAACCGACTCTAAATGGATTTTGTATATGTAACCAAAATCCCAAGTCAGCTGACCTTAAAATATGTCAATTATTCAAGGGGGCTTGAACCAGTCAGTTGAGCACTTTGAAGCAGAGAGTTTTCTCAGGCTGATGGCACAAGAGTAAGAGAAAAGTTAAAAGCACAAGAAAGATTCAGTGAGCCATTGTTGCCTTCGAAGACAGAGGGGCCATGTAGCAAGGAATGCAGGAAGCTTCTAACTGAGAGTGGTCCTGGCCAACAGCCAGCACAAAATAGGACTTACTCTTACAGTCACAGAGGACTGAATTCTGTCAACAACCTGAATGTGCTTGCAAGTGGATTTTTCCTCAGAGCCTTAAGATAAGGGCCCAGCCGCAGTTCAGCCCTTGATTTTGGCCTTGATTTTGGCCTTGTGAGACCCTAAGCGACCGCCCAGTATTGCTCACCTCGACCTCTTTCTGACCTATTGAATTATGAGCTAATGAATGGGTGTTGTTTCAGGGCACAAGAACGTTGTTATTTATTTTGCAGCAATATAAAATTAATACACACCAAAAGTTCTACTATACTGTTTTCAAATTCTGAAGTTATTTAGTGGGGCACACGGGTGGCTCAGTCGGTTAAGTTGTTTTCGGCTCAGGACATCTATCTCGGGGTCCTGGGATCAGTCATGCCTCCAGCTCCCTGCTCAGCAGGGAGCCTGCTTCTCCCTCTGCCCCTGCCCCTTCCCATGCTTGGGTTCTCTCGCTCTCTCTCCCTCAAATAAATAAAGCCTTTAAAAATAAATAAGTAAAGTTATTTAGTAAATTCATTCTTGTGTTTAAAGTGTCACCTGGGGGGCGCCTGGGTGGCTCAGTCGGTTAAGCATCTGCCTTCGGCTCAGGTCATGATCCCAGGGTCCTGGGATCGAGCCCCAAGTCCGAGTCTGAGTCCGGCTCCCTATTCAGCGGGGAGTCTGCTTCTCCCTTTGACCCTCCCCCCTGTCGTGCTCTCGCTCTCTCTCTCTGACTCTCTCTCTCTCTCAAATAAATAAATAAAATCTTAAAAAAAAATCAACTTTTAATAAATATAAAGCTTTTAACTCCTAGGTATGTATCTGATGATTAGAAATAATGTATAGGAACAGCCAGCACAGGGCCAGGCTTAAGGCGGCCACTCTTCCCTTTGGTCCTGCAAGCTTCACCCAGCAGGGGCTCCCACCTGCAGCTGTCCGCAGAACCCAGAGGACACACAGTGGATCTCTGCTAAAAGCCCAGGCAACCTTTCTGCGTGTTGCTCTGTGCCAGATCCACTGCATGACCCTCTTTTTCAGACTCCTCACTGATAGTCCTCCATGCTGAGCCCGGCTGTCAAAGTGCTGGATTAATTTCGGGTTTAGACTGTGTGTCTTGCGTTCTCTAGTTCTCGGACTTGTAGGCCCCGTAGCTGCATCCTTGCTGGACTTCGTCCCCTCTCGGCAAACCCGCCTGCCTGCCAGCCCTGCCCGACCCCAGCGTCCGCTTTGCCCTTGGAACATGGTACATCTGAAATTGTTGACGTCAGGGATGGATGGATAGATGTCTTAAGCTTTCCATATTTCTGGCTCTAGGTCCATTCCTTCATCCCACTATGGTCCAGGAAATGTTGACAGGAAAGAGATATTCAAAAATGACCAAGGGATATTTTTTTTTTAAAGAAAAACAAATCACTGAAGGAAGGGTAGCTAACACATGACATAGTGAAAATCTGAAAGAAATCCATGCACCCAGACTATTGACCTTACCTTCCAAGGAAGCATTTAGGGAATGTGGTCAGTTTTCTTTTTCTGTCTTTGATCAGATTCCCTTGTTTGCACATCATCTTATAGAGTTTCTCACCCTGTTCGGAGATCATTACCCAGGTGTCTTGCTCCATTCCTAACTTTAAACCTATTGAAAAGGAAACAAAGGACAGGTAACTGAAAAAGTCTCCTCACTCACTCCTGCCTGAATGAAACCAACATTTATTGCATGTCAACCCTGGGCAGGGGGTTGCAGATACAGAGCTCTGTACCACAGGACCCTGGTCTTCAAGAAGCTCAGGGGATCCCAGGGAGACAGTCAGGACAGGATCCCCAGGGCTGTGTGGCACCTTTGGTTTGGCCAGTGAAGGAAGAACAGCTGCAGCTCAGGCTCCAGGCACCCCTTCTGCAGCATTCGATCAGCACAACTGGACAGGTGGCCCTGAAAACAGCCTTTCGGCAGAAGCTGTGACATAAGAAAGGCATATTCAGAGGATCTTACCTCTGAGAAGTATTCAGAAAGGTTTCACAGAAGACCAATGTTTAAACGCAGAGGGATGAACAGTATTTCCAGAGAGAGAGAAAGTGTTCACAAGAGCTACCTGAGGCGAAGCACCACAGGGGGCACACAGCCCCGGGCTCGAGGTGAGGACAGGGGCCACACTGGTGAGTAAGGGAGGGGCCTTGCTCAACTGCAGGTTCCATGTCCTTCATCCCTGAGGTATCAGGGAAACATATAAGGGTTTGCACCAGAGGGAGGGGAAAAGCAGGGCAGGACAGGAAAGAAAGTTTTGTTGCTTTGGAAACAAAGCTCAGACAACAGTATAGGAACAAACTGAAGGGGGCAGGCTTTAAAAAAGGGGAGATCATTAGAAGGAAACCTCAAAAATTCAGGTAAGGTCAAGCCCCTGCAGACAATAGTAGGGGCCATGGGGCAGAGAATGAAGCTGAGAAATATCTAGGAAGTGGTATTGATAGGATACAGCAAAGGGTTAAATGTAGGCATTATGGAAAAAGAGAGATCAGGATGCCTTCCAAGCTTTTGAGGAAAGCCGAACTGGGGAATAGGGGGGAAGAAGCATATTTGGAAAAGAGTTTCAGGTAAGGAGGAGTCCAGTACCATGCAGGGTGACTCTGGACATTCAGGTAGAGCCTAAGAGTCAGCGGAACGCATGCACATGAAGCTCAGGAGACAGGACAAGGCAGGACACAAAGATGGAGAAAGTGGCAGTGCAGACATGGACGTGAAGCTGGTAGGAATCAGTAACCCAGGCAAGGATGTATCTTAGAGGGGACCAGTGTCAAAGCTGAAACCCGAGGAATACCCACAATCAGCAGATGGAACTGACGAACTGTTGCAGAAGAAATACTTGAATTAGGGTGCCTGGGTGGCTCAGTTGGTTAAGCATCTGCCTTCGACTCAGGTCATGATCTCATGGTCCTGGGATTGAGCCCTGCATCAGGCTCCTTGTTCAGCAGGGAGTCTGCTTCTCCCCCTGCCCCTCCCCATGTGCACGCGCTCTTTCTCTCTCTCTCTCTCTCGCAAAAATAAATAAATAAAATCTTTTAAAAAATACTTGAATTATTTTTAGTCTTCTAGCTACAAAATTTTTTATTAAAATTTTTATTTTTTACAATGGAGGAGCAATTACCATTTGTCAGTAGTAGAGAATAATCCATTAAGAATAGAGCCTGTTAACATAAACAAATTTATAGAATGTGCCTGTTTGCTTCTTTGCTTTCTTTCTCTTTCCCTTCCTCCTTTCCTTCCTTCCTTTCCTTCCTTCCTTCCTCCCTCCCTCCCTCCCTCCCTCCCTTCCTTCCTTCCTTCCTTCCTTCCTTCCTTCCATCCTTCCTTCCTTCCGTCCGTCCTTCTTCACTTTACGTTTATCTATATGCACAGCCATTCTGGAAAAAAATAAATAAATAAAGCTTCAACTTGACGAAACATTTATTTTACCTTTTAAATGATTTGCTATGCTATTTGAATTGATTGCTAGATTCAACAAAACTTAAAGAATCAGCTATGTATTCATAATCTTTGTTTTAAATTTTTCTAACTGGCTCTCCATCCAAGATCAATCAAAGGAGTTAGTATTTGAAAATGCTTTGGAAATTCTCAAACAAATGTGTACTATGAATATTTTAATAGAACTAGGAGCTTTGTATGTTCTTCAAGGGAAAATTTCTGAAGATGGAAGAAAGGGTTCTTTGTGTTCTGAAATTTCATCAGCAATGAGATATTTTGCTCCTAAGTCTCTGAGGAAAAGGAATGAACACTGTCTTGTTTCTTATCAATTATTTGGTAAAGAAATTAGTAGTAACACAAGCATTTCTATTTCCTACTTGAATTACAGAAATGTGCTTAACTGCAGATAAACTTGACACAACTGAGTATTGCCAGATCAAATACCTTTTGCAAATCTTGCTAAAAACATGAAGCAATTTTGAGCCAGGCCTCCTCATATGAACAAACTCCTTATTGGGTTGCATTATATTCAATGGCATTGTAACAATTTTCAAATGTTAATGTATAACCAGAGTGCCTTATTCTATAATTAGGATACTAACATATTTGGTCTAGAAATTTTCAGTGTACTGTTAAAGATATAACTGCTGAAGGCCCTGCATTATACTATTGAAGTTTGTCTCTTACAGGAAAACCCCATAATGATGTTTTAGAAATGGTAAGAATAAGGTGCAAAGAAAATTGAACACATTTTAAAGCAAATGAAACTATTTGCTGTAGACTGAACGTTTGCATGCCTCCCGAATTCATATGTTGAAACCTAACACCCAATGTGATGGTATTAGGAGGTAAGGTGTTGGGGAAGTGATTAGGTCATGAGGGTAGAGTCTTCATGAATGGGATTAATGGCCTTATAAATGAGACACAGAGAGATCTCCTGCCCCTCTGCTACGTGAGAACACAGTGAGAAAATGGCCATCTATGAACTGGAAAACTGCTCTCACCAGATACTGAATCTGGGGCTCCCAGCCTCCAGAACTGTGAGCTACAAATTTCTGTTGTTTATAAGCCACCCAGTCTGTGGTATTTTGTTATAGCGCCTCAACAGACTAAGATACTATTTAAAAGACACTGCTTGCCACAATATATCATTTTACTAATTATACAATGTTTTTCTTTTCTTTTAGCAATAATATTAGAAGTATTCAAAATGTATTTTAGGGGTGCCTGGGTGGCTCAGTCGGTTAAGCATCTGCCTTTGGCTCAGGTCATGATCTCAGGATCCTGGGATTGAGTCCCACTTCAGGCTCCCTGCTCAGTGGGGAGTCTTGCTTCTACCTCTCCCTCTGCCTGCCACTCCCTCTGATTGTGCTCTGTCAAATAAATAAATAAAATCTTTTTTTTTTTTTAAAAAAAAAGCATTTTAGCATGAGTCTTACATCACATGGGAAATCTAAGTGAATATCATATGCCTTTTTACTTTCTCATAACTTCTGCCCATTATCTGCTTTCTTGCTAAGTTGTAATCTTCACAAAGTATAATAGTGCTCAATTCATACACCCACCTTTTCGCCGTTCTCTTTCTTTCAAAATAGCTTCAAACCATTCATGTTTCTCCTCAGGTGTTTTTGCCATACACACAAACCATTTATTTTTCGCTGTGTTATGTATCTTCCATCCATTGACAACAATGTGTCCACTGCTATGGAAGTCAGCTGGAAATTAATGGGTAAAGGTGAACAACAAATATAATATCAATACAATCATTCAATTCTCAACAGTTCCAAGATCATTGAATTACTCAAAAGTATCTTTGCTTTATATGTGTGAATGAAGAACATAAAAACAAAAAAATTAAGTGTTTATATATTAAATGCCGTCAGTACTCAGGAATAGAACATTTCTAACTCATAACATTAGTATATTACATGAAACTGAACATCTGAACTAATATTCCTTTCCTCTATGTCCAAAAATATTGTGAAAGTTCCTAAAGTAATAAAAAAAGAACTTTTAAAAGATTTTCATCTCAATAATCGAATATCCAAGGTGTCAAATTCATTTTGTCTTTTTAATATTCCTTTGAAATATTATTCTAGGTTTCAAAAGCAAACTATACCGCCACAGAACAATTCTCAGCTGTTTAATGAACTGCACAATAAGAATCAGAACAAATGAATGGAACATACCAAGAGTACATTTACCTAATCTTCAATAAATGGAAAGGTTCAAATGCCTTATCATTATCATTGCTCATGGTTGAAAAATACACACTCTTTAAAATTACCACATCAGTCCATATAACTGGCTTGAATAAAAACAAAAAAATTTTTTGAGTCTGAATTCACATTGTCTTTTTCTACGTCTCATCGTAATTTTGGCTACATTGTCATGCTGGATTTGAAAATGCCAACAGAAAACCCTCTATGGCAGTTTTCTGCCTAATAGCAGGTAGAGAATAGTGATGTTACTTGTATCCAGCCTTTACTGGCATGACAGTCTGCAAAGCAAAGATTCAAAATGAAAAAACATATGACAAAGGCCTGAGTCAGCACCTGCACCAATTTAAAGTGACACTTTTAATTCATCTCCCGGAGAGACACTAAACAGCGATGGTGGGTAGCCAGGAGGTGAGCCACAAAATGTTAAAGGTGGTTTAGAGAAATGACTTCGTGGCACTGTACTATTTTTTATTTCTTTATTTTTTCTCAAATGGCTTATTTTATTTGGTGAGTTCTGGCAGGCATGGTTGGCACTCATTCTCCCCAAATCTTGTCCCCATTGTCTTTTTAGCTCCAAAATCGCCATACAGTATATGTGACCAGATTAACTATTCCAAAAATGCATTTTCAAATGATTCCATATAGTTGAGGGTCTTTAAAAATTCCAAGTTATATATGAGCCAGGATAGACTTATATTAGATCTTAGTCTATAATATATATATACATACATATATGTGTGTGTCTCTCTCTCTATATATATATGCCATAATCCCATTAATAATAACAATTCTGATAAAGTAGTGATTCAAACTAGCAGATTTCTGCCATCAGGAAATAACAGTCTGTTTTTAAAAGGAATTTTTGTACTTTCCTTCTTACCCTTACATATTTAATTCATATTCATATCCTATACAAAGTAGCAGATCCTAGTAATACATGTCAGATAGATATCAATGACATTAGTAAGAAAGTAAAAATTATTAGTTAATAATTATACCATAATGCCTTGTTACCTCCTACAAAAATCACCAACTGAGAAATAATGATAAATTGGTAGGGAAAAAAGATCAAATTGTACATGTCTACACACCCTCCTCCTCAACTGTGTCACCTTACAGGGTCAGTATCACAAACAAGCATAATCTTTTCAGACTCTCCCCTCTTCCACAATCAGACCTAGATTAGCTAAGTGAACCCAGCACTGCAGCTTAAAAGACCCCACATTCCCACTAGTGTTATTCCCCTTTTAATCATATTCCAGGTAAAGAAAATCACAAGAACCACACGCAATGTACAGTAATTAAATATTGGACTTACTTTAAAATGAACATAATGTATTCTTCCCATAGAACACTGAGGAACACAAGTTCATATGCTAGGCTGATGCTCCTGACCCTGCACATCATATGCCCGGGGCCAGACAGCCCTGTAACCTGGGTCTTCCTTCCTTCCCTCCCTGGATTATTTGAGCCTGGCATTGCTCTCTCCACACCCTGCTGACTCTTCCTTCAACATTTTTCATCAGGCCATTTCTTACTTCAAAAGCCTTTGGTAGCTCACCACTGAATCAAGTGAAAACATGAAAGCTTGCTTTCGTGCTTCTTCTTAAATTGACCCCCCCCCCACTGTGTTCTTCTGTGGCCCTGCCACTTTTTGCAGCTTTCCTCCTTGTCCTGTGACTTACCCGTTCTCCAGGCTGACGCTCACTCTCAAGCTACCCAGCTCTGCTCTCTGCCTCAGCAACTCTTTCTTCTCCTTAAAGTGTACCCAGATCTTTTGCGAAGGCTTGCTTAACCATTACAACCTGGGCATTCAAACTTCCCTTGGAAAATGTATGATTAAACTCAGAACCAGACAAGTCAGCATGTGATCGCACATGGCCATTGTTTCATGAACAGAAAGCAAGATTATTAACTGACTGTAAAATCTGCCAAGTCAAATAAAAGGTTAATTGCTGTACCAATACAATACTTTGAAAGAACAGCTTATGTCACCTAATAATTTAAAATGAAAGGATAGGGGCGCCTGGGTGGCTCAGTTGGTAAGATGTCTGCCTTCGGCTCAGGTCATGATCCCGGAGTCCAGGGATCGAGCCCCGCATCAGGCTCCCTGCCTAGCGGGGAGTCTGCTTCTCCTTCTGCCCTTCGCCCTGCTCGTGCTCTCTCTCTCGCTCTCTCAAATAAATAGATAAAATCTTTTAAAATAAATAAATAAATAAATAAATAAAATGAAAGGATAATATTCCTTTTTTTTTTTTTGAAAGATTTTCTTTATTTGTCAGAGAGAGAGAGAGAGCACAAGCAGGGGGAGCCGCAGGCAAGGGAGAAGCAGGCTTCCCACGGAGCAAGGAGCCCAATGCAGGACTTGATCCCAGGACCCTGGGATCATGACCTGAGCTGAAGGCAGATGCTTAATTGACTGAGCCACTCAGGTGCCCAATAATGTTCCTTTTTAAAGTTTATGTGCTAGCTACTTTCTATCACTAATTTTAAAAATCATAATTTTAAACATATATACAAACATGTATGTGTATATATAAAACAGGACTCAAAAAGTAGTATAAATATCACAGTGATATCAGTTACCAAATTACCAATGTTCTACCAAATAAGCAACTGATTCTCATTTATTTTGAAATGAGAATTAGTGATATATAAATGGCTTCATAATTTCAATCACAGCACATTTTTCAATAACTTCATTCTAAAAAATAAGTTTGAATTCAACTTATTTATTAAGAACAGCCACATAAAGATCATGGAAGGGGCACATGGGTGGCTCAATCAGTTAAGCATCTGCCTTCATGGGGCACCTGGGTGGCTCAGTTGGTTAAGCGGCTGCCTTCAGCTCAGGTCATGATCCCAGGGTCCTGGGATTGAGCCCCGCATCGGGCTCCCAGCTCTGCGGGAAGCCTGCTTCTCCCTCTCCCACTCCCCGTGCTTGTGTTCCCTCTCTCTCTGGGTCTCTCTCTGTCAAATAAATAAATAAAATCTTGAAAAAAAAAAAAAGCATCTGCCTTCAGCTTAGTTCATATCAGCTCAGGTCATGATCCCAGGGTCCTGGAATCAAGCTCATGAGCCCATGTCAGGCTCCCTGCTCAGTAGGGTGTCTGCTTCTCCCTCTGCCCCTCGCCCCCGTTCTCTCTCTCTCTCTCAAATAAATGAAATCTTTAAAAAAACAAAATCATGGAAAAGCCCAATAGTGCTTTTCCTTAGTAGAAATTTAAAAATATTTTTTAATGAAAGAATAATTTATTAATGCCAAATGTAGGAATTTGCAAGTTTCAATGTATCTAAAATATAATTCTACAGAAAGTGTTAAAAAGGAATGGAATTAAAATTGTCATTCATTAAGTGTAGAATATCCAAATTCAACAGTCTCTAGGCACTGATGTCTTTTCCGAAAAGAGAAAAATCCAAGGGGCAGCCCTGAACAACTTACTAATTACTTTGAAGCTATACAGTTTACAAATTCCTCACTCTTAATTCAGCATAGTTTTACATAATGAGATGAGGTTTTTCTAAAACTGATACTACTATAACTCTCAGTGGAAATGCTGGTATCTTTTCAATAGTGTGAGTTTAATGAGATGGAAGCTAGCCAAGTACTCAGGCTAGGAAACAGAAGAAACTGCCAGAAAATATTATTCAAAACATCAAGAAACTGATGTCTAAACAATGTGTTTAACCCTTATTCTGGTGATCAACAGTGTGCATGCACAAATTTCTAAGAGAAATTTTAAAAATTATAATTTACTCACATTATGAATACTTAATGCTGAAAAAATTACTTTTTGGAATAAATCTTTGATCTTATCAAATAACAGAAGAAAATTTTCTGGCATCCAAAATTTCATTTGACATTATTTATGGCAAAAAAAGTTTTTTAAAAAAGGTTCTAACTGATTTTTCCTTTTAAAACTAGAAGTAGCTTCCTTAACCTTTTTGAAATTCCCAATAACATATTGAAAATTTAAGTGTATCAGGAAGGAACTAATATATGCCTGGTAGTCTTTTCAACATTATAAAGTTATGCTACTTTTTAATTAAGAATGTATTCAATTCAGCTTATACAACAGTACTATGGTTGTTAAGGTAACTATGGTTTATCTATTTTGTTGACTATTAAGTAACAATAAATACATGTTATGTGGTGATAAGACATGAAGATAAAGATGACTATAATTCAGAAAATGATTCTATTTAATTGAAAAGAGGATATAAAACTATAGAGGGCGCCTGGGTGGCTCAGTTGGTTAAGCGACTGCCTTCGGCTCAGGTCATG